TGCTCAGTGGGTTAAAGATGCTTGGAACGAAATACCCTTTGAAATGATTATAAAATGATTTAGAATTGTTTTTGAAAGTGAAGCTGTTTAGCTGTTTTTGAAAGTGAAAATGACGACGAAGGCTCTAGTAGTGATTGTAACAAAACAGAGTTTGTGACTGAAAATATGTATGATGACGAGCCAATGACGACAGAAGAGTTCTGTGAAATGTTTGGTGAATCTGACCATGAATCGGACGTTGAAGGATTTTGATTTTGTTTATTTACCAAGGTATTTTTTATCGTATATTTACTTTTTTTTCTCAGATGATTTTGAATAAATGTAGTACTTAAAAAAAATTTTACGAAGTTTCTCGATCGATTTCGGAAGTGGGGGGTCGACTTATACGCGGGTTTCTTATTTTCTACGAATTTTTTATGTCAAAGTGGGAGGGTCGACTTATATGCGGTATCGACTATACTTATACGCGGGTATATATGGTATTCTGTTTGTAATGAATACCGACCACTGTTCTCGACGAGTTATCCACACAAGAACTGTGGACGAATCTGTCCAAAAGAGTCTTGATGTTGGGAAGTTTCAGAGCTTGCTTCACAGAACTAAACAACCTAGCACCTACGGTAACGGCTATTAATTCAAGATGTGGTATAGTAATAGTCTTCATTGGAGTTATTTGTGATTTGGCTTGAAGTAATTGAACAGTCACTGAACCCATACTGGATTCACTTCTTAAGAAAATGCATGCCGCATAAGCTTTATTACTGGCATCGACAAAATTATGGATACTTAAATTCGAATTCCTTCATCACACCTAACCATCTTGGGAATTTTTATATTTTTGAAGTATTTCAGTTGTTTTCTCCCATTTTAAAAAATACTTTCTTCTTATTTCATCATTCACTTCATCATGCTATGATTCTTTGCTTTTCCAAGTGGATTGCAGCAAAATCTTACGTTGAATCATAACAGGAGCAAGGAAACCTATGGGATCAAATACTCGACTAACTAGTGAAAGTATTTTCCTTTTAGTTACCTTTTCTCTTTCATCAAATTTCAAAGATTCGGTGTCTATTTTTAAGGTATCTAAATCTTTGTCCCAAATCAGTCCTAATACCGGTGATGTTGTACTTTCTGAAAATGCAGGAATGCCAGAACTTTCCCATCCTCTTAGATCAAACATTCCCTCTTTCATCACATTAGTTGCAGATTCGATGAATTATTTCTAGTTCGGCATTATTTTGTACACTAGTTATGCAAATATCGACATAAAAACTATCTTGTAATTTTTAAAGAAATTCTTCAGAATATTTTTCTTTCCAGGATTCTTTGTATAAATGATGGTCAGTAACCGCCATTAGCAAAAATGGACTACAAGTAATGCCAAATACCACACGGGTGTGACTAAAATGTCTTCATTCTACTACCATCATCACCATACCAAAGAAATCGTAAAAAATCTCGATCTCTTTCATTTAGAGATATCTGTAAAAAAGCTCTTCCTGATGTCTGAAATCACACCAATTTCATGTAAGCGAAATCTTGCTAGAATAGAAGGAATAGTTTCAATCAAATTAATTCCAGTCTCTAAGCAGTCATTTAGAGATGGCTGATTAGGAAGCTTTGCCGAAGCATCAAAAAACGGGTCTAATTTTCATGGAAGATAGTGAGGACGTTTCCTTAATGACTGTACGACGATGTGGGAGGTAATGAACAACAGGGTAAAGACAACTCCTTTTAGGGAACTTCTTCAATCACTCCTTCCTTGCAGCCATTCATTAAACACTTCATGATACTTTTCACGATATCCGATTTTTTCCAACTTCTTCGTAGTAGATTCGAGTCTTTTTCAAAGATAGGTCATAATTGTCAGGTAAGACTGCATGCTCAATCTTCCAAGGCATATCAACCTCGTATCTACCATTTTCTAATTGACGAACTGTTTCTTGGAAATGAACCATAATAGTTCTTCTTGACTCTTCTTTAGTTTTTTGTTCAACAGGATCTCGGATACCCAATAATTCTAAGTCCCATAGTGATGAAATAGGCAGGTCTTCTTGAGATAACATAGAAACTATAGTCATATTTACATTGTGCTGATGTTCGGATTGAGGTACTTTACCCATCAAAGTCCAACCCAATTTTGTTTCTATAGCCACTAAACCTGTTCTTAGTTCTTCTCGTTTGCCAGTAAATAACTTCCCTGCAACGTCTGCCCCTAACAGTACTTCAATAGGGCCTGGATTCCCTTGGGTATCAGTTAAGCGTATTCCTTTATTTCCTAATTCGCAAATCCAAGAACCGTATCTTATGCTTGAAATATCATTACAAATAACGTCATAGTCTACAACATCTAATTTGCATGAATAATTACCATCAAGGCTACTCAAATAAATCTTGTAACATTTATAAGTTTATAAATTTCAGTTTTCGTTCCACCAAATAAAGAGTGACTAAATTCTTCCTCGTATTGTAAGTCAAAACTTCTGCAGTAGACTTTAAAACATAACTTTTTGAGCTTCCCGTATCAATCATTAATCTAACTTTACGCCTTTTATTCTTACCCTCTATGTTTACAACCAGGGTCTGAAGGAAAACTTCATTCGTAGCACGCGAATGCAAAGAATCGATTGTTTTCTCTTTTTCTCATCATTTTCCTGGTTATGCATTTCACTAGACTTATTACATTCAAGACTAGGACAAAAAAAATTTCAAATGTCTTTTTGAACAGATCTGACACTTAACATTTGAATCGACACTGGTTACTGAGGTGACCTTTAACCAAGCATATTCTGCATAAACCTTTCTTTTTTACTACAGACATTTTTTCATCTAACTGAATATAAAACGCCTTTTTTACAATTACGCGTTTCATGATCTTTTAAACAAAACGAACAAGAAGGTATTGCTTCATGATTCATCAAATCCGACACGGAAGGAATATTTTGGCTAGTTGCCAAGTGCTTACGATCAGACACAGAAAAAATATCCGCTCTGCTTAATTTTATTTTTTTCCTCTGACTGAACTTCGCTTCGCTTTTCAGAAATTCAATTATTGCATCAAGACTCGAAATGTTTCGTTCAGATTCAGTAATTTTTCGTTGTCTTTCAAATGATCGCAATACATGAATGGGAGGAATAGCACTTTCTACAAGAGGGTATAAAATTGTTCCACACTGATCAGTTGTCACACCGAGACTGCTCAGGGCTCTAAGTTGTGTTGAAAGTTTGTTATACAAACTACTCAAAGAATCCTGCTTCTTTTTCGCTGCGTTATCCAAAACAAGTTTTATTAACTCTCGAACATAAAAATCAATTAAAAGTTCTTTACGGCCATATCTCTCAGTGAGGCTTTCTATAGCCAAAGGATAATTTTCGTTCGTCACAGGAAAAGATTCTACAATATCTTCTAGCTTCTGATTTAATTTTTTGTTGACTGTATCAAATAATGGAATTTGTCTGCATTCGTTAAGTTATTATTTTCATGTATGTTTTTAAACTGATTCCAGAACGTAAGCCAATTTTTTAAATCACCTGCGAACTTATAAAGTTCTACTTTCGGTAGGCGTTGGCACAAAGTTTTACATGTACTTTCATCAGTAACTAATTTCTGACTACTCTCAGACGCTGTATTTTGTATTTCATTTAATTTTCTCTTAATATTATCGAGAAATCGTTCCGATTTTAACTGTATCCTAACCGCCTTTTCTTGACAGTCCTCTGTTATTTCAAATTCTGATTCGAATTCTTTATCATCAGTTAGAGTATCTAAATAAGCATTATGCGTCAATTCTAACGTTTCTGCCTTTTTTTTTTTTTTTTTTTTTTTTTTGAAAAATGAAAACACATTTCTGCTTCTTCATAATCAACATTAACATCATTAAAAGTTCATCTAGTCTTTTATATGCTTTAGTAAAAGCTGAACGTTGTGCAGTTTTGTTTCTTTTCATCACTTCCATTTTGTCTTAAGTTTAAAATATTCAGATAAAAATTAGGCAAGAATAGTACTTTAAACTTCAGTAAAACAATAATCAATAACTTCAAAATGGAAGTATAAGGTAATCAACTTACCCTATCTATTCTTTTATCCGACATGTTTCAACAAACACGCCCACCCAGGGGTGCCAAAAATGTCGTGAACATCATTGTGAGTTTAAGAGAAAAGTGAGTGGTTTGTTAAAATTTAGATCAGATGAAAGATCTTTTAATATATAGCATTTTAATACTATTTAGCACAGTTTAATAGGTTTATTTTACAATATGCAACATCCACAAAATGATCATTACAACGGAATGTGTTCATCCATCTTTTCGAATAACAATCTCTCTCCTGTTGCCAGTAACAGAGAAACTCACCTCTCATGAAGTTTGATAGTGGCACGACAGAATGGTTAATATTGTAGAATTTCTTTTCGAGCATAAATTTAAAGCTACATACATGCAACAAAAAATTAAAATGCAATGCTGTTATAGCAAAGCTAAATATATCACTCATGACCATTTAATGTGCATTGTATGCTATAAAATAAAATGCTACCAGATGGCACTACATTGTTAATTCCGTAAAATACTTAAGGGATATTACGCCTAAGAATCTTATTTTGCTCTTTTTTTAGATCAAAGAAAGATTCTCTTTTTCCCTAATAAAAATTTAGATTCTAACATATGGAAAGAAAATACTTTAAATTCAGCACTAAAGTTGAGTAGCACCAAAAGTTAGAATCTCTTATCGATGGATATTATTTTTACAATACATCATTATGCAAAACTTAAGTATATGTGCATCATCAAATAATAAATTAATTACTTCTATAATTTATCAATCAAAAGAAAATATTCTCAGTTGCAAAGGCACAACTTTCAAACAGCTGAATAGCAGCATTATTAAAATTTCTTACAAAATATATCCTCCCACCCAAAAAAAAAAAAAAAAAAAAAAACTAGAAACTGATTAGCTTAGTATTCTAATATTTACAAACATGACATAAAAGCAATGCACTTACCGAGGTGAATCTGGAGTTGACACCTTCAGCCAATCATCTTTGACTGGGGGTGGCATGGGAGAGTAAGAAGTGTGCATAGAAACATCACCAATAATATTTAAGGCTTCTTTACAAGCATGATACATGCGCAGCAATTCTTCTCTTTTATGAGCTTCCTCTGGTGATTCTTCCATCAAAGAACTCTAATTCAAGGAAGGAATAATTCAGTTAATATTTCAATTTACTCAATAATACACTATAAAAATATCTGATGTGGACACCACGACTTTTTTGCATGGCCAATTAAATTATATGCTTTTTTTGTTGCATTTCAAACTTATTTCCTCGAATTTCATTAGAGATGTATTTCTCATTAAATTAATTTAGTTCTTATTTCCCAGCAAGACAAAAATACACAAAAACTCAAAGCATCTTCATTAAAAATTGTAAAATACAGAAAATATAAAACAGCACATACAGTTAAAAAAAAAATTTTACCCAATGGACAGAAAGACAGATTTCCTGGTGCACAAAACTGAAAGTTTAAATTTGGTAAATTCGTTATTCTACTAAGAGTTTCAAATGTACACAAATAGTGGTCTCGTTAGGCTTAACACTCCTTAAACTGTTGATAATTCTACAACTATTGCATGCAGATTAACTAAAGGCATAGAAACCTTAACAATTTTTCTACTGGTCATGTGATGTTGTATTCATAATTAATGCTATGTCAAAGAAACAGATTGTACCCATATGCCAAATTATTATAAGAAATATTATTTAAAAGAGGTAATAAAAGATTATTACATGACTACATTTATTACTAAAACTTTAAAGCATAGAATTTTATTATATGTGCCAGCGCGCGATTACTGTTACAGGTAAAATTACTTCTGGAATGCCATATTATGTGCTGGCACGCGTCATTTAAAAGTTAATCAAAATAAGTAACAATATGCATTATTTTGGTATGAAACTATATCACAAAAAATAAACACATTACAAATGAATTTATTACAAGACAGTTACAATGATATTATTGCAAACTACAAATGAGGTATGATTCGGAAGTTCCCGGACTGAGTCTGTAACATAAAAAATATTATGAATTAAATTGCAGAAACAAATCATCCTTTAAAATAAGACCCTTGTGCAACAACACTCTTTTGCAAGCACCTGTAAAGTTCATCGAAGCATGTCTGAAATCCATTTTTGGCCATGTCCTTTAATTCAACCAGCGATTCACATTTAACATCATCTGAAGATTAAAATTGATGACCCTGCAAGCATCTTGCCAGTTCAGGAAATAGGAAGAAATTACAGGGTGTGATATCAGGTGAGTATGGAGGATGAGGCAAAACAGTTGTTTTCGTTTTCACAAGAAAGTCATTGACGAGTAGGGACTGCACTGTCATGCAACAACACCCATGACTGCTCAGACCACATTTTTGGTCTCTTCTTCCGGATAGACTCAAGCAAATGAGATAGGATTTGCAAATGAGCTAGAAACTGCTAAAATTATATAAAAGACTTCAATTTGTAAATTAGATGTCACTAAAGCTTTCTAATTTCATCAAAATCTCAACTGCTTTTTATAAATCTCATATATTAGATACGGCCAAAGTGCAGCTCACGGGCTACTTACGATCCTTTGCCATCTGAAATGTGACTTGTTTTGAATAAATATAGTTTGATTTTTTAATACAAATGGAATTTCAAATAGAAATCATGCAGTGCCATGTATCTTTAATAATGATTCAAGAGGTGGTTTTGAGAATTTTCAGTGGTGCACATGAACTTTGTTATCTATGTCCAAAATTATCAGTACAATTCGAGAGACAAGTTTCGAAAGTTTTCAATAATAATTCGCTATCTATGTCCAAAATTATTTGGACAATTCGAGAGATAGTTTTGACAATTTTCAATGATGCACAGTGTACTGATTACTAAAAAATTCTGGCAGATTCCTTTGGATGCCACGCTGAAATCAGTCAGGGCTGTCATGAGAGATACTGATTATTCAAATACCACTGAAATTGCAATTATATATATATATATATATCTTTTGTGTGTGTGTGTGTGTGTGTGTGTGTGTGAATTCTTCTATACTGGGCATCAGTAAAAGAAATTATTCCAAAGTTTGGGGAAAATATATTTAATGATTTCTTAATTTAGGAGCCAATGATTTGAATGATCTCAGTATGTTCGTCCGTATGTTAATTGTGTGGAGAAACAAAATTACTCTTTAAGCAAAAGCCTAAACAAGTTAATAGCTTATTTTTAAATATTCTTCCTTGAATAACAGTTTCTCTACAGTATGCATTGACCTGTATCATTTAATTTATCCTTTCTAAAAGACTGTTCACATGTTTTAAAAAAAAAACACTCAATTTTCTTTAAAATAAAGATTTGTAATTTACTCAAATAACAATTTTTTATTAGACCAATAAATATCAGTTCATTTTACTTCTATAAACAGAGAGGTATTAGGAAAATCTGAAGAAAATATTTGGTTTTCCTACCTGAAGAAAAAATCTGATGTGTACACCAAATGACTTCCTTGTACGGAATATTAAATTATACACATTTTTTCTTGCACTTCTTCTAAACTTATTGGATTGAATTAAATCTACTTCATCGATAGTGCATAAATCACAATAGAATGAATGTACTCTTTAAAATTCACTACATTTGTTTACCATAGTGACACTCTGGCGCTAAGGTCCCTTAACAGCGTTACATTTCATTCATTTTATATCTCGGAATGCACAAAATTTATATCATCTGAAGAATAATCTAATCGTTGCCACATATTCTATTCAAATACTATAATTAATCTAAAATGATGTATAAAAGAAATTAAACAAATAAAAACAAAAAAGAAACAGTTTTTCACAGACGATTCAGTATTTCTCATTTAATTAATTCAGTACTCACTTCACCACAAGACTGAAATACATAAAAACTCAAAATATATTGTGAAGTACAAAATATATTGTAATATTGTGAAGCTTAGTTTCTCTAGATTATCAAAAAATCCACTATTTTGAGTGGATATTAGAGTTTCAAATGTAAACAAACATGGCCACCATGGCAAAAATAATTAGGCTTAGCTGCACTTAAACAAGTTTTAAATTGTTGATAATTCTACAAATATTGCATGCAGATTTACTAAAGGCATAAAAACCTTAACCAGAAGATAAGAACAACATAATTCAACCATTTTTAAAGCAAAAAATGCACAATTTACAAACATATAAGAATAAGAAACTGAGACCAGCCGAGTAACAGAGTGGATATATTTGTATACTTTTGGTGCGACCGATTGCAACCAAAATACAAGGTGCACATCTACAAGTTATAGCAGTTCAATATTCTGAGGCTACTCGTTTTTGAGTTATGCGAGATACGTACGTACGCACAGACGCCATAAAAATTCTCTTCAGAATTCATTTTAAATCAGTTTTAGAATTTTTTTGGGGAGAAAAGAGCCCTTTATTCTGTCCTTATGTACAAATGTCACGCAAAAACATTGTTAAATTGCATTAAACTTTTTGCGATTACAATACTTCCTTTTTACTTTGTACAAAGAAATAAAAATTGTTACCCAGTACAAGTGTTACAAATTTTTATTTTCTTGGGACTTAATTTTTTGTAATATAAAACAGTATAGATAGTAGATATAGGATGTATTTATTCATATTTATGTAAGAAAAATAAATGTGTAAAAGATTAAATTAGCAGCGTAAATTAATTTCCCTTCTCTATTCTAAAAATAGTAACTTCTATTTGCACTGTGTCATTTAGAGAAAAATCTATGTCATATGACTCTTATGTAATTCTGGTGATGTAAATTGAACTAAAACTTAAGCATCCAATAATAATAATAATAATAATTTTACAGCAATATTAACTATCCAATCAAAATGCTTTGAGAACCAAAACTAACTCAGTTTGACATAAAATTTCTTCCTGAACATTACGCACTTTCTATGTTTTCCTTAGCTGGACTGCAGTCTGTCTGCTTCTTCTTTTTTGCTGCAAATCTATCAAAAATGTAAGCCCTTAGGAACAGGCACATTTAATTTGTCGACTTGTGTGTAGCCGCAACATGTTGCCAAAAATAAAACCAAAGATTTAATCTGCCTTTGCCTCCGATTTCTTAGTCATTATGGATCAACACTTCTGTGCTATCAAAATTATTGTTCCCGAATATATTACATTTATATGTAATCATATTAATTACATATTCATTCATTTACTTCAAAAGTTTCTTTATATTTCATTATTTTTGAAACAATCTAAATTGGGACTTGCAGCTCTCGAACGTTCATAAAACCTATCAAGCGGCTCCCATGGTCTTGAAAATCCCTGTTATATATTCTACTATTTCCAGTGCTTTTCAGTCCCCCCCCTCAAATGGTAGTATTAAAATGTAGTTTTATGCATTTAAGACAACTCAAACAATACACTTGTATAGATTAATCTGATATACTATGTCTCTTGAAATACGTTAAATCTTCACATTTAAAATTAATGCCAAATTAAATTTTTTAAATAAGGAATGATTGCACTGTTAAGAAGAATATCATAATAAATCTGAAGCAGCAATTCAAAAATGATTGAGAGAATATTTATGAATTATTAATTCTTTTTAAAGTTGCCAGAAAAAAAACTGATACGTATCTCAATTTTCAGATAACAGTTAAAAAACTAAACATCCATAGAAAAATTTAAGTATCCTTTTATAACAATATTTATTATGAATTCTACAATGCATAATGTCACTGCTTGAAATTTAACAAACTTGATCTTTTTCATACAGAAAGGAAATCATCAACTCATAGGCTTCATCTAGACAGATTCTTTAAACAATGAAGGAAAAGTTTCACATAACTGCTCAAAAATAAACTGCTCATTATTTTATGTTCTCAAGCACTCACATATATTTTATTTGATTTATATTGCTTTAAAAATCAGCATTTGATGAATTTAATATTCATAATTTATGCAGCACATTAAGCAAAATTTGGAATCATGTGAATGTTTAATAATTTTCAAACTGAATATTACAAAATTACACAATTTTAATTAATATTGAAATTTTCATTAAAACAATCAAATGAATGCATTATTTCATTAGCTATCATAACACTTAATAACATTTTAAACCAACAAACCATTTAGTATCTAATTTAATTAGCTTACTATTAAAAACGTCTTTATACAGCATTTCTACAACAGAAATTTGTGAACTAAATTTAAGATTTACTTAAAATTTTAATATTTAAAATTACCTACCTGATCTCCAGCAGAATATAGGTTTGCTAGCAATTCAGAATATATAAAGTCTTTGGTCTGAAAGAGGATTATGATTGTTAGAAAAATAAAAAATTATATTTGAATTGAAAAGTTTAACAGATTTTTAGATTTGATATCATAGTAATTAAAAAACTGATTGAATTCATAAGCAGTAATTTCATTTGAACTGTCATAACTTTTGATACAATCAATACATTAGACCCCATTACAAACCTTACAGCAACTCTAAAATAAGTAAAATTTAGCTTCCAATGAAAAAAAATTATGTGCAACAGTTTTATTATTATTATTATTATTATTATTAAAATGGAAGTTGTATGCTTACACTGTTAATAGTCAAATGCATCAGAATTTTAGGGACAAGATCACGGAATGTTTTTGTAATGATCTTCATGTAAGAATCCACAAGGTTGCGAATAGTTTCAACTTGTCTTTCCAGCTGGGGGTCCATTGATGTGGATCCTTCTGAAGAACCTTCTTCTCCATTTGTGAGCTCTGAAGACGTTCTCTCTGGATATACCCCAGCTCGAAGTAGGGAAGCTTTCCAACTATCCACTTCTTCTAAACTTTCACATGACAGTTCTAACTGTTTGTAATCCTTGTAAACATTCCTATGGTCACACAGCATATACAAATTTATTGCTTACCATACATAGCTAAACATTTAAAATAATATATATAACATTACAGTTGTTGCTTTGATATGTCTTTCGTGTTTATACTCAAAACAGAATTCGGAACATACTTCATTCTAGAGCCCACTTTTCATGAGCTAAAATTACATGAAAAAACAGGTAATATTTAAGATTACAATAATATTTCTTTTTTAATACAGCTAACAACTTATTAAGTTTTCTTTAAAAACAATTTAATTTACAAAATATGAATATTTTTAATACTTATTTAAAATTATTTAAAATAAATAAATTTTTTAATAAATATTTAATATTCAAAAATTTATAAAAATAATTCAAAATAAAAATTTTAAAAATTATGCACGAAATATAGTTTATACTCAAAAACAGCCGATCAAAAATTATTTTTATGAACAATTTAATTCTGTTTAATAAATAGTTTAATTTTGGCACACTGTTTACATAAACACTACATCGAAATATGAGCCAAATATGCTTATATGAATACTATGTCAAAATGCAAGCAAACAAACATCATATTTTGAAAGCATTATGTACATGAAATATTTCAACTCGTCCATAAGATTCTGACTAAAGACCTGAGATATGCTATGTTAAACAGCATTCTGTTTCACATATTTAGCTGGATGACGAATGCACAGATCATACAATTATTTGCAATGATGTAATTAATATATATGATAAATGCCATTAGATCTCATGAAAAGGCAAAATATATCAAGTTTTCAAAATACGGTATTTTCCGTACAGTCCACAACTTAAATTACATTTTTCATCCTGAAATCACTAAAGAAAATACGATGCTACATATCAGACCAGATTATGCTTGGCTTCTTTAAATAACAGCACTACTAATAATAATTCAGGAACTGTTTACAAAGAATTCAAACAGCGTAGACAGGAGATAATGCATGTGTTCTATACTCGAGTTAAGGCATGTGTAGATTCTTCACAGTCTATGCAATTAAATCCATGGCAAAACTCCAAGACTTTGGCACAAGAACTGGATATTGTTAGATTGCATTGCCTCTACACTGGTGCAGAACTGCTAAGGACAGATGACAATAGCAGTGAAACCAACCACAAAATGGAAGGCAGAAAAATGTGAAAATGAGTATATGTGCAGGATACAGTAAGACATTTTGGTTTGCCAAAGTTGTTCGCCACGTCATAGTGCTGAAAAAGAGATATAAAGGATTCGACTTGTCATTGATTCAAAATTGTGACCTGATCATTGTCATTCAAAAGCAAAATGTAATGGAAACGAATAAACTGATGAACTCTCAATTTTTGGTATGTCTTCCCAACATCACTTAGACGATTTCACTAATGGCCGTATTACTAACAAGATTGAAGAAGGGCGAATAATACCAGATGTTGCTAGGGAGTTCAATGTCAGCAACAGTGTTGTTTCAAGGCTTTGGAAATCATTTCAGACAAATGGAATATGTAGCAAACATTACGGGGGAGGTCATGTTCACAGTACAACGCCTGCAGAAGATAGGCACATAGCACTATCAACAAAAAGGAACCGGCTCAGCACAATTACTGAAATAGCAAAACAGTTACTTGCCGCTACTGGCAAGCGAATCTCCCAAAAAACTGTAGCCAGACGTTTGCATCAATGAGGACTATATGCCCACCATCCTGTTGTGTGCATTCTATTATCTAGATGTCCCAGTTCCACCATTTGCAATGGCGTCATCAGCATCACAATTGAAGGGAAGACAACTGCGCTTGTGTACTATTCTCAAATGAGCATCTAGATTCAGTCTGTTATCGGACTACAGATACCAGTTAATTTGGTGTGAGAGTGGTACTGCATATAGTCTGGCAAACTTACAAGAAAGGGACCAATAAATACCCTACATATAGCTGTCATGGTATGGGCCGGGATTATGATCAATGGCCGTTCGTTACTCTATGTGGTTCCAACTGGGACTATGACTGGCTAATGATACATTAATGATGTTCTGCTGCCTTATGTTCGCATGTTCCACGGTGCTGTCAGTAATAAATTTGTTTTCATGGAAAACAATGCAACATGTTATCGAACAGTCGCTGTCCAAGAGTGCCTAGAAAGCGAGGATATTTAATGCCTCATATGGCCAGCACATTCTACAGATCTAACTCTCACTGAAAATATTTCAGATGCTTTGGGGAAAAGTTTTGCTAGTCGACAATGCCCCACTCCAACAAACAAATACAACCTCATCTGTGCACTGACAGAGCGTTGGAATAAATTACCCCAACAGCTGCCGGATAATGCTGTGCAAAGTATAACATGACGTGTGGAATCTTGCATCCCCTCCATGGTAGCCATACCCCATATTGACATCTTACACCAGAATGCCTGCAGACGATAATTGCATTTTTTTTTTTTTTTTTTTTTTTTTTTTTTTTTTTCAATTTTACACATTTAGCACAAAATGATAATTTTTTTGCCTGAACACTTTTCAAAGCCTTCTGGATTTCAAAGCACGATACATTATCTTTATTGTTATGTCCTAGCATTCTGACATTATTTCACTTATCTTTATTGTTATGTCCTAGTATTCTGACATTATTTCACTTATCATCCAACTACACTTATTTGTTTTTTAATGCTATACAGCCATTTGTGATCCATCCTTAGATACACTGGTGTATTACTCAGTGCTTACACTAGTCAGTGCTTAGTAAATACACTGGCACTCAAGTAGAACTTGCTACTTTGTCACTTTTCTGTTGACAAAACAAAGCAGCAAATAATTTTGTTGCATCTTCCTTCCTCAATTAATACTGTGATATGCGATTCCTCTTTGTCTGCTTACTTTAAAGCAAAAATAGACAGGCATCGATTTCAGCCAAGCAATTCGTTGTTGTTATGAAGAAAGCTCTGCAAGACATTTCCACAAATAACACTTAGTCATATTTCCAACACCCATACTAGTAGTGATAAGCACACATATAACAAACAATGATCCTTTCCAGGATGACTATAAATATGTGTACGCAAGAATGTATATCTGGTAAAAATTCATAACAACCATGAAACAAAAAAGTGGTAAATATTATGTTAAAAGATCTAAAACATGAAAACAACATAAAAATGGTTATCAAGAATGTGAGTTTAATACATGCCTATTCTCTGGATTGAACAAGGCAAAGGTGTGACGCTTTGACATGAAGCCAGATTCAATATCTTTAACTTGTAGACCATCAAGCTGCAACATGTACTTTTTGTCTTTTTCCTAAAATATTGAAACATTAAGAATTTAGTAATTTCAAAATCTGAAATCATAATGAATCAGCAAAACAACATTAATATTTAATATACATGAAAGCAACAAATATAAATAGATTTTTCTAGTCGTTTTGAAATACAAAAAGGGGGAAGACTGTCTTAAATTCAGATTTTATAAAAATAACTGTCTTAATTTCTTTACCTCAAACAAGTCTACAGAAATAAAGTAACGTGGATGTTATAAAAGGTTGAAAGAATGTTATTTTATTTAAAACAAAAATTAATAAAACTGACTTTAAAATAAATAAATTTGACTTGAAACCAGTCTGATATAGCAAAGGATTATATGTAAAATTTAGAAAATTCCCTTTCCCTCTTCTACATACAGTGAACAAAATTATAAATAAGGCTTTTAATATTTGTGAAGCAATTCAATCCTATAGTGAACTCTGATTTCAGCATTCCATCTGAAAAGTAAATTATGGGAGTAATTCAGTGAATGTTACCTCAGTGAATGAATTTTGAAGTTATACCAGCAAGAATTTTAACAAGAGCTCTCAATGATTCAGTATTTTAGCTATTAAAACTGAATTATTTATTTTATGAAAGATTTTGATAAAATCTTCAGAAGCACTGAATTCATAACCTACTTTTTTCCTGAAATACATTTATGGAAACTGTTGGGAAGTTGTAATAAAGATGAAGTTTCTCTATGAATCTGAATGTCTGTTTAGAAGATAAAATACAAATCAGCTAACAAGCAACAAATTTTTAATAACTTTTTAACTCAAAATAATAGTAAATTTTACATAGTAAATAAATTTCAAAACCAGAAACAATAAAATATTACATGTCTAGCCAAAACTTTACCAGAATTTCAATTAAACTTTTTATTAGCAAACAGATAATTTATTACAGAAAAGCACTTTAGACACAAAACCTTTACAGAAGACTTCCAATGGAATCCTTTTCAAATTACAAATTTCTCCATTTGTAATGTTAATAGGGAAATGGTCCCTATTCCTACTATAAACAGAAAAATTCATATACAGCTAGCTGTTCAGTTGCTAGAAATTGAACACAGGACACTTAAGAACATTCATTTTTATTGCCAATTTTGCTAACAGTTTCTTTTACTGTTTGTTAGATTCCAACCTTTATTTATGCAGCCCCTCCCTCCAAAAAAAGAACTTTTTTGTTTATGAAAAGTTTTATTTAAGCATAATAACTTAAAATTTGATCTTTTCTAAGCATTATTTTGATTCCAATCTAAGTGATCAATTTTCATCATGAGAGGTTAAATTATAAGAATACAAATAAAATAATTTTAATAACTATTAAAAAGGTGGAAATATTTTAAAAGTGATTTTAATTTTAGTATTCCTTAATAATTTTTTTACCCCCCCCAAAAAAAAAATATATAATGTATACAAATTTTAGAATATATATTTCATAACAATTTCTATCACAGCGTAAAATAATGAATTTTTCACATACTTCTTCATCTTTATACCATGATAATGTTTCAGATGTCAGAACAAACCAATAATCTCTTGAACCACCTTTCATGATTCCTAAATTATGTATGCACATCCATCCTTTACGTATAACCTATGAAAATGAAACAGTCAAAAATATATGCTATACTTAAATGTAGTTTACCACAGCATTGGATCTTCCTAAACATTTAAAATATACAGATGTCTTTATTTTTTGCAGTTATATGTTTTGCTATTGTAGTACCTGATTGCCTAGCTTCCTCTTCCCAGTATTAACTTCAGCAGTCTGTTGAGCACTGAAAATTTTAACAGGAAATCAGAAAAAATACATATATTTCCCACATAATATATATAACTATATTAATTATTAAGAAGTTTCAAAATTAAAAAATATATGAAAACACTAAATTTTAATAAACTAATGTCCCTAACTAAATATCACTTTCGGTCTCACTTAAACCAGAATTCACAATTAGCCAGGGGCACAAACCAGTCAATAAAATTATACACAACATAAATCAAATTCAACAGAGCTACAAAGGAGAACATAAACTAAACATAACTAACTCAATATAAATATAGTTTATCAAATAACAGTTCTGGCAGACAGAATAAACAGTAAAAATATAGTTTTCAAAATGTAAAAAAAAAAATAAATAAATTGCTTGAAAATATGAAAATGAAAGTAGAATGAACATGTACAGAATTAATAACATATAGAGATATAGTAGCAGCTAAAATAACTTGATAAAATACACTTCAGACACATCAGAGATTTTCACATTTTGCATACAGACATATTTAATGGAAAGGAAAGAAAAGAGAAATATAGTAGAATTCCAAATATTCAGACTAACTGGAACCATAATTTCTCCAAGCATTCAAAAGTCTGCACAACAGAATTCCAAATATTCAGACTAACTGGAATCACAATTTCTCCAGATATTTGAAAATCTGAATAATTAAGTTGCTTCTTTTATGCAATAAAATAAATATTTACTGCAATGAAAATAATGCAAACCCCCCATTTACTGCCTTTTTATACAATGATTTCACAGATTTAATATATATATATATATATTATTTTCATTAAACAAATAAAAACTATATAAATTTTACAAAATTAAACAAATAATTTTTTATTCTCATAAATGGATAGTCCATTTTTACTTTAATTCTATTTATACTAAAACTAAATAAATTATTCTACATATATTTAAAATAAAATGGACTGCCTGTTTTGATTCAACTAGATTTAACTAAGACATTTACTTACACATGTATCATTATAATAAAATTAACAACATAAGAAATAATATTAAATTTTTGCTTTTAAAATTTGTAATAAATTTATGACTTTAATGAAGAAATTTTAAAAAAATCCATCTCATTTTTAATCTAACCTGCTTTTTCAACAGGGATTATTATTTTTATTTATAAATTACATTTCAGAACTATTTAGATAACTTGCCTAACATAACTATTTAGATTTTTTACATTATTTTTCATTAAAAGTTAAAAGTATGTAAATAAATTAATAAGCTAAATTTTAGTTTATCAATCAAGTTTGATCTGGATAACTGGAGTTCTACTATACTGTAATTTTTATACACATAATGAAACCAAATTTTGCAAAAGATGCTTACAATATACAAATGACAGTTATATTAAGAAATTGCAAGAAAAATTACAGTTACGCTCTGAATGAAGAGAGCTACATGTATCAACATGAACTGAAAATCTACATACAACATTTGATTCCTCAAAACCTTAACCATTCACCAGCTTATTCTAGGGTAGAAACCTTGCCAATCATATAAACAGTCAATAAAGATGTATTTTGTAAATTATATCCATTAAATATTGTATTCTAATTTTATTGTATGTGAATGGAAAGAAATTATCAATAAAACATTTGGTTTTATATTTATGATATAATTATTACATTATCATTCTACAATATTTATATTCCACATACACATAATATAAAGAATATAATACATAATAGCATAGCTCATTTATTTTGATTGAGTACATGCATTCTAAATCAAATGAATTACTTTTCTGTGATATTTTTAATAGAAATTAAAGACTGAGTTTTCTCAATTTTATCTAGACTATAAGTGAATTTTGCTGTGAATTTATTCACTCATAAAAATAATATCGTGCTAGTAGATGAGGTTACACACTATTATTATAAATATTTCTGCATGTACTAACACAGTAAATAATAAGAGTTTTTACAAAATATTTACACCACACTTCATGCTCTATAAATGTCGAAATCGGATATGATTTACATCTCGGCATACAAAACTTAAGAACCAATATTATTTTTAAAGGTTACGACCTCAAAATTCAACAAAAAAATCTGCAGTAATTCGTATAATTACAGATCTTTAGCAGAAAGCTGATGCCTATTGAAATTTTGGAATCATGATGCCAAAGATATTGCCATGATGCATAAATAATAATATCAGAAGTTAGGAAATTTTCTTTTGAATTTGCAATGGTAGCATAATTATTCCATAAAATTCATCCAGCTGACAGATAACAAAATACTCAAAAGAAAAATTTAAATGACTTGATGACAATGTCAAATAACTAGGAAAGATAAGCAAGGGCAATGTTAAAGCACTTTGGCCAATGAATTTAATATTGCCTCTAGTGCAATATTGTAGGCATAGATGTTTTTCTGAATAAGTATAGCTGTTGGAAGTAGTAGTGGTGGCTGTGCACGAATAACAACGCCCAATAATAAACACTTTATATACTTGCAGATCAAGAGAGAAGCCAAACAATGGAAGCTATTGTAAACTAACTGCAAGATACGACAACTATAGTCAAATAACTCTACAAAGATACACTGTTTGTCTAGTAACAAGAATGCTGTGTACTTTTAACAGTTAAATTGACATCACTGTTTATAAGGGAACACACAACATAAGGACATGGAAAGAACACAATAGCGTAAGATATTGTTTTTGGATAAAGAAAAGATTCTGGTTCAGCAGTGATTGTAAACATTAACTAATAGAACAGAATCACACATATCACATAATTATTGTACCTTGTAATTTGCATTGTAATGAGATTTTTTTTTCTTTTCTCAAATATATTACTTTATATTAAAAAATTAATTGATTTAAAGTTATTTAATATGCAATACAAACATACTACAACTTCATATTTTTCTCATTTAGATGATTAAAGTATTTAGGTTCATTACCAAATATACATTCACTAGTTTGGCATCCCTCACCAGAAATTGCATAAAAATTGGAAACTTTATTAGTGCTAGTGAGCTATATTAGAAAATGTCATTTGATATTTCACAAAGAAAACAGATTTGTCACTGACAATTCATGTAGTATCCTTAAAAGAAAAAAAAAATGCTCCCAGCTTTCTTCAACCTTTTCAGTGCATTTAAAAAAAAAATTCATTTGCAAACATGCCCATGTATTACAATGTAATAGTAGTCGGTTATCCTAAATACATTATTTCTTATTGTTAAAAATTGGTAAGTGGAAAAAGCATAATAAAAATATTGCCTACATGTAAATTCAGAACCAAGGAATGATACTACAGATTACTATCAATATCAGACAACTACAATTTCACTACAGACAGAACATAAAAGTAGGTTTGCTTATATAAACTATTTAGTGCATCAAATTACAAAATATATTGCATAAAATTACTTTTCACATATTGTATTTATAAGATGCATATGCTTGGATAACTAAATTTCATGTATGTATTTGATGCACCAAACCATACTATTATTTAAATAGGAAGTTCAAATAATCCTACACAATTTTAAATTCTGAAACAGTTTTCATCCCAAGCTATTTGGATAGGATACCAATTAACACTCTTCAGTTATGTTTTTCTTTGCATACTATACATTTTTATATACATACAGAGGATATTCAAACATTTTTTAACAATTTTAATACAGCACAATAATTATAAAACATCTTTTTCATTTGCTTGATCTGGTTGCTTGTCTCCTACCAACTAACCTACATACTGATTTCCATGACAAAAAAGCATTTATTTATTTTAGATTGGAATTTTTTTCTCACCTCTCTTTCCATAATCTGTCTATAACATAGGTCCATACGTTATGACATACAGACTGCATCTATATGTAATGGTCTGTAATCTTTTGCAAATAAGTGACTTTTTTAACAGAACAGCCAGAGAGTTCACTAACATCTTATCTTGACATTTCTGAGAAAAGTGAAAAGGGTTTGCAAAGGAAAACTTTGCACTTTAGAATGCAGTCACCTTTTTCCTTGGGAGAGAGGATTTGGTTATAGATGCTAATATGTACCTCGTGATTCTGACCTGATGGAGTTCAACTGCTTTTATTTATTTATTTATTTATTTATTTTAAAGTATGGGAATCAAAACAATGTTTTATGAAAACTCTAATTTTTACATTTCTTTTGAGTTTTCTTAATTTTAGTTTTTTACTGTACGAAAAACTTGCTGTGATCATGAACTCTTCACTGAAACTTTCTTAAGACTCTAGAAACAAAACTCTGAAGTCTTTCTCTCCCCTTTTACAATAGTAAATTTATTGCTTTTTGTTAGTCATTTAAATATAGCCATGCTTCATTTATGGTAATAATAAATTTTCATCTTTCACAGAATAAATTATTTTTGTAAAGAATTTAATATTGGGTTTTATCTCTGCTATATATATATATTAAAAAAATATACATAGGTACTTTTTGCTCCTTTTTTCCCCCAAATTTTAATTTTTATTATTTTATTTATAGCAAAAATAGATGATTCAAAGCTTTTCTTAGTACAGCCTTAAATGTTTAAAATGCTCTTTGAAGCACATGCACATTTGAAATTCTATTTCCTGTACAAAGCATCGAATATAATTTTTTTCTTTTGTGATGCATGATATTATTGACTGTAGCCTAAGATCCCTATACTGTTTTACCCCGAAACGTGCGACTACATTTCTGTGCGGAACACAGCAGAAACACAGATTTATCCGACAATTTACTTACATGAGTCATTTTGTAAAAATTTGAACTGCAGAATACATTTTATTCCTCAGAGTAAAAGAAAGCAAATTAATTTTTATGGATCATTAAATTTAATGATTTGCTTAATCAAAACTGTTCAGAAAACGCATGAATAACCTCTGTGCCATTTCTCGTTATTACTTTTTAATATTACACAGAAAATTTCACATTTAATATTCATTCTTTAAAAAATATCACAAATTAGGATGTTGAAAATGTATGCAAAAAAAAGTATTTTTTCCATTATTAATTTCATCCTTTTTTTTTATTTTCCTAAAGTGTACAAGTTTTTATTATGTATGCATTATTATAGAGGATATGCATATGATTTTACACATAATTCATAACAGTAATAAAGTATTACACAATATTTATATACATAATTGATGCACCATATCAACATAATTGTATCATCTCTCTCTACAATCTTTTAGACAAATATCTAAATTCCTTACTCAAAGAGAACAAATATTTTCAGTATTACATCACATTAAAATTCATTTACACTTTGCTGAAATTATCATGCCACATTTTAATAGTAAAACACTAAACACCACATATTTTATACCGATATTTTAATGCATAAATTTATTTGTTATTTTGGGAAATAAAAATTTACAATAGTGATTATATCATAAAATTTTAACATACAACACAGAAAATAGTGAATTTTATCTAAACTAGGATTTTAAAATACCTTTAGAGAATACATATGCAATATTCTAATTCAAGTTTTTTAGAGAGGGGATAAGTGTTTGTAACACTAGTAAGGATGTGAATTCTTTGATACTACTAATAATAAAATATAAATTAGTTAAAAAACATTTATAATTTGAAAAAAAAGCTACAAATGCGAGCAATTTAATATTTTCTGTGTTATTTGAAATGTTTTTTTGAAAATACATCTCAATATAAGAAAATACTGCAGCATCTACATACACCATCATTGACTCCTGGAACCTATAAGAAAGGATTAAGCACTCTTTTTAAACATCTGTAAGCATAGAGATATTTCACATAAACACGGTATTGTTAAAACACTTTTGTAAAGTTTCAAAACTGTGTGATATGTTTCACACTGTTTTGAATTATATTGTGACAATATTATTTTGGTGTTTATATTGCTCATTCCTACAAAGGGCATGCATGCACCCCCTTCACATGATCTTTAAAATATAACAGCATATTAAAATACATCACTCATCTAAAAATTATCTTTCCATCATTATTCTTACTTACAAAAATAAAACTTTTTAATTATTGAATAATTTTCAAGGAAATACATAAAAATAGATTACTCGCATACAAATACAAAATAAGCTCCTAGAAATTACTATTTAAAAATATGAATAAGAAGGTAATAAAAGCAACACCCCCATACTATAAATAAAAGAAATTTTATATTCAAATGTAATTAATTTTAAATATCTTCATTATCATTATACAATAAATAAATAAAATACACAAAAGGAAACGCAGGTAGAAATACTATCATTATATAGATCTGAATGTTTTATTAAACTACTTTAAAAAAATACGAACTGACTTCCTTTCACATACTTTGAGAATCCAATGAAATCTTCATGATTAGTGTTCATATAAGCCAATTCTACATCAACCAACAAAATAAGCTGCTCTTTAGTTTTCTGTTCTCTTTCCCTGATGAAAGACATTATTATTCTTTCTGTTTCTTCTCTTAAATGAGGATACCTGCTCATCTGCAATAAAATTAATATGTTATTAAAAAGATATTTTAGAAACTCAGTAAACTTATAAAACAAAAATTATTACATATTTTATACATCTTTTTATCAAATATAAGATAAATAATTAAGCTACCAAATTTCACATACACTAAATTTAGGAAGTTTATTTTTAAAAAGATTGAAAAGGTCATAAAAGCAATACCTTAAAAATCTTTTTTCTATTATTATTTCCTTTACAGCTATTTCTGCAGTATTTTAAGATTCGAAAAGTTTATTAAAGCACTCATGTACTTATTAAAAATAAGATATATGGATGAATTTGATAAATGAAAATTTATGAATGTGAAGTCATAATTTTAAATAAGAGACGAATCAAAGAAATTACATTTTCTTTTTCCGTAAAATGACTTATAACATTGGTACACACATATTCCTTTCCTGGCAACTATAGTGACATCAACTGGTGATCAAAATTTGACAGTGGGGAAAAAAAAAAAAAAAAAAAAAAAACTTTAATGGTACTTAGGACAACAATTTGTATTTGATAACACAACAGAATTTGCTCTTAAAAATACAGAAAGGCACAATACGATAGACTTCGGGAGGAAATATTTATGATGAATGTAGCTGAACTATAAAACCACAACATAATTTATCGCATTTATAAGACATGTTAAGGACTTCTTTAACCCCTTTTTTAATTCTATTTTATGCTCTTGAAAAGAATACATGAGATCTCCATCCAAATGTTAAATTTCAATCTTTTATTTATTTATTTATCTTCCAAATGAATGAATGATTGCAAGTTTTAGTTCACAAATTTCATAAGAGAAAATTAAACATAAGAAGTCACTAGAAATCCTTTACGCTAAGCAATTAAATTAAGTACATAAGCACTCAGAAAACTGCCAGTTGACAGTGTAATATTTTCAGGAATGGGATACTGCATAAGTACAATACTTTTATCAGAAGCAAGTCATACTTTCTGATTATCTACACTCCCACACACACACATCGAAAAGCATGAAAAAAGTACTGATGAGGGAACATATTATCTCACCAAAATGAAGTCATGTGGCAACCCAGGTATGTGCATGGTAGACACTATTTAATGTGATTGTGGTTAATGTTATCATTCAGATATTATTACTGATTTGCTAAAATCTTGCCAATTTGTAGACAACATATACAAAATCTATTACTTGTTATGATCAAAAGTTGAATTAATATGATGAAATTATTATTAAAATCTGAGAATATTTTTAGCTGAATTAAAACTGCCAAATAATGTCAAAATAGATCATAAAATGCGCCAAACAACACACAAATGTTACCCAATGACATGGCTGCGAATTTAGTCAACTATAATTGTCAAAATTAGACAATAAAGCAATCTTAATTCAACCAAGTGTAAAGGAACCCATTTTCTTGGTTTTTATAAATATTTGCTGGACAGTTTAAAAGAGCTTGAATTCAGATAACCACGTTTGTTTTTACATGAGAAAAAACTCTTTCCTCCACTCTGAACTTTGCATTTTGATGAATATTCTGTTTTACAAAGCTCGAATTTTTTATTTAGTCACTTTTAGTTATTTTTATTATCTGTAATCACTTTCTGTTGATCATTTGTAAATTATAAAGACTAGTAAAAGGAACAACGATATCAGTGATGAAGTTTGTTTATTAAACTGCTATGACTTGCCTTCAAAATCAACAGAAAGCTGCTTTTAGAAAATTATAAAGCTATTGTTTGCAAATCAAAGTAAAACTGAAATGAAAACATGAAGGGGGAATGGGAAAATTTGCAATGTTCAGAAGGCAATGGCTATTGGATTTGCAAAAGTTTGTGACAATGATGGGGCAGTCAGTATTCCACTGATGTGGCAGAAAGATTGAGAATTAATCATAATGACAAATGATAGTTTGTAGCAATATAATGGCTGGTTTACCCAATGGAAAAAACATTGTTTACAAATGCACGAATAGTTTAAAAAAATATGCTGATTTATCTGCAGTTCAAATTAATGGCCTACATTCTCTGCAAAGCATTGTCCCAAAAATATTTACAATGCAGATGACACAGGTCTATAGTATTGTGCATTGCCCCAAAATACATATTTATATAAAACTGAAAAGTTTATAAATATTAAAAGATCATCCGACTACTTTATGCTGCATTAATAAGTATGCTTAAAAAAAATACCTGATGCTTGAAAGAAGTAAAGAGCTTATTAATGGACAGTAGATATAAATCAAGGTGTGGATGACCTAAGTTGAATGACTTAGTAATGGACTTAGGTCATCCACACCTTGAGTTATATCTACTGTCTAATGGAATAAAATGGGACAGGGAAATGAAGAATGAGATAATTCTTTTAATTGAAGAATAATGCAAAATGTAAATTTCTCTAAGCATACTGATATTTTATATTTATCAGTAAATATAAAATTCCTGATTTAACTCTGATCCTGATTAGCTAAGTATTAGAGTTTTTATAACATGTATGATATGGATATAAATGTAAACGAATTAGCAAGGTAAACTAACCTTCTTGATGTGTCGAATTTACTGAAGACATCTTGGAGTCACATCTCAGAAAGGAAAATAATAAACCTTTTTAAATATGCCAACCTTTTAATAAATGATGAAATGGAAGAAACTGAATAGGAAAAAGTCCTCAGTTAACATGAATAGTGAAGAATTTAATGTATGAGTGGATACTGGTAATAATTCAAGTTGCAACATTGTTGACAGAAGAATATATTTGCTAATCACTTTCTGAAATTAATCCAAGCACATTATATGATAAACTGAAGATGATAAAGATGAAATCAATTAATTCTCTACAACCCCCTTTCCAAGAATTATAATTAAAGGATATAATCAGATAAATTCCAGAAAGACTATGAACAGTTTATAAATGTGCTTTCGCATAATACTTCTTGACAATCCACTACAATTTTTTCCCGTACTTAAAATGCTGCCATTATTGATGATAATCAGGGCATTGAGTTGATTGATGAGTGGGGTATTCTCATCACAATGAAAATCTTCTATTATATCATCTTCATTTATTACAATTTCTTTGCAGTTCTTTCTTAACTGGAAAATTTTGTTTTCTGTAAAAATTTGCGATATCTGAAAATCTTTAAATTTGGGTGTATCATCAATCATATAGTTAGCATCCACTATACACTATCCATGATGTATCATGAGACTGGTGATTAAAGAAATGTTGTTCAACTAAATTTTATCTAGTTTTCATCACACACTGGTGAAATTAAGCCTGAATTATATTAGTTTAGTTAATTATTATGCTTGCCTATTTCCCATGCATGCTTATCTGAGTCCCAAATAAGTAAATTCCCACATATCGCTTATTCAAGGTTAGTGCTAGACATTTTACAGCTTAGTGCATTCCCTGTGGATTCTAAATTCTGCTGCTAAGTGCCTCCCTAAATTATCAAAATTTTATGCCCCATTGCCTTTACTAAATTCTAATGACTTTTACATTCCTTAATTTTGTTGTTCAATGTTTCTCCAAATTTTAAAAATATTGCCTTCCCTATATTCTGCCACCCCAGCTCTGGAGCAGATTCTAGACTTATCTGAATAACAAATCATTCCTTCTTAATTCAAACAGCACTAAATGTAATCTTTTGGCCTATGAGTATCACTTATAAAATCTGTTTTTTGCATATGGAAAGAAATATTTATTAAATTTCTCCTCCTCAACACATTCAGCACTTTACTGGGCAGTTAGCTGAAGTCTCTTACCATCACTAAGTGTAATGCCAACATAAAATGTAGCCATGTTCTTTGGTATTCAATTACTAATATTAAAAAAAGAGAGAGAGAGAGATGAGACATTGCTTCATTAATCATTTCTCAAGTAGATGGGTGTTGACAGTCATGCAATGACAAAAGCAAAAAATAATAAATGATGTTTCCCCAGGTTGCCATTAGAGATAAAACATTTTCTGTAGTTATAAAATCAACAATGTTTGGATGCAGAATGTTTCAGATTGTTTGAACGTTTGAGATGTATGAAATGATGTTTTGACAGGCTGACCATCAGAGATAAAAATTATTTTGTAGGTGTAAAATCAACATTGTTTCGGTATGAGATGTATGACAAGCAAAAAGGTGGTTATGAAGAGTTAATTATTTATTATACAGATTTATACCAACAAATTGTTTCTTCAATATGCAGGTATTTTACTTAGTGCCAAAATGAAATTAAGAATCAGGATTCTCCACATGTTTTATGAAAAATATCAAACATGCATGTGTTAAGCAATTCTTTTGGCTGCTGGCAGTGAGGAGTTTCAGATTTTATATCATTCCAGGGTTTAGACTGCATAATATTTTCCATTTACATACAATTGTATTATATGTACTATTTTCTATTGAAGTCTTCTGATATGTGATCTCCAGTGAAAGAAGTGAAAAAATATTCATGAGACAAATAAATATCACCAAAATAATTAAGTGGTAACCTATGATGTCAGCAGAAAGCATTTATGTAGTAACCCAGGAGTGTACATAGCACATATCTGTTTTGACAGCGAACAATGCAAAAATTGTATAGAGGCAAGTTTGAGCAATTTTCAGTTTTTTTTTTTTTTTTTTTTTTTTTTTTTTTTTTTTTTTTTTTTTGTAGGAACAAATTGCTATGTACATGATAAAAACAACACCATAAAAAGGAAGGATTTCTTCAAAAAGGTAAGTAGTTTATTACTAATGTTTCTTCCTTTTTAGATTTTATTAACTGTTCTTGTATGGAATTCTTAGTGTGCCGTTATTTTAAAAATGGCTGTTGCCTTTCAAGCATTAGATTAACAAAAAATTAACTTCCCATGTGCTCATGACTTTTCGGTGATGCTGCAGATAATCAAAAAGTATTATTTTTAGTCGATAGGGGCAATTTGCCTTGAAGGACTATTAATTTCGTTTTGGCATTTTGCGTCGAAAACTTTAAAAGGCTGTATCACTTTTCAAATCGTTGCCACCATATATGATCACTCTGTGTTATATTTAAAGATATTAAATAATGAAAAATCTGCATAAATGTATGTATGTTTGTTGCATTGTAATAAAACATCGACACCTAGAGCCATCAAAATGTGAATAATGTAATCTTCCATAGAATATGGGCATGTGGAAGCCCTAATTTGAATTTGAAATTGTTTTATTAGCGATTTCAGATTTTGTAAAACTTCAACGAATTTTTTTTAATAAAAAACTAAACAATTTTTAAGCGAGCAATGGCAACACTGTACGAAAAAAATCTTTTTATCTCCAGCATGGAAGACTCTGTATCGGAAATTCTAAAGATATACTCATTTTAAAATTAATTTGTGATACTGCTGTTGAACTGAATTTTATAGTTTGAGTATGTAGAACATGATGTTTAATAAATAAAAGTAACACACAAAACGTTAAAAAAATGTCCCTTTGTACGTAATTTAAAATCTGAAATCTTTCAGATTTTTTTTTTTTTTTAAATTTTGAACAGCTTTTATTTTTATTTATTTATTTATTTATTTTCCCCATTTGCCAATTCAATGAGCTTTCTAACCAATACATACAAGTGAAAAAGAGTTAACTCAAACCACAAAAAAAAAAAAAAAAAAAAAAAAACTTCAAGCGAAGGAAAGTAAAAAGGTCATTTTAACATTTAGGCCCCCTCTACCAAAAAAGATTTAAATTCAATATAAATTCTTTTTTATGCTGCTCTAGGAAAGCAGTAACTTTCTCACATGTCAAAACATAAAATGCAGTTTCCAGAATAATGAATTATTTGACTGAAATTCATGAGTTATATATCACTAATATTTTTATGATTTTCAAGAATTTTTTTAACAGTATATTTAAAAACTTTTGCAATGATTTTTAAACATCTCACTAAAGAGGTTCTAATACAATTTAGATTCTTTCATTTCTCTGTCAGAAGTATTATCAATTTAATTTATAAAGTTAAACATTTACATCCTTTTTAAAAATTTATTAAAATACAAATAAATTTCTTACATACTTTATCAGTACACTTTCTGACTACATTTCCTAACTCTGCAACAACAAGATCCACGCATTTCAAAGCAGGTTCTTTTAGTTTAGCTATCTGTTTCTTGACAATTGCTTCAAATGCCTTATCAGGGGTAAAAAGCCCAACTCTATAATAAAATAATATTCCTCAAAAAACAACAGATCATTTTCAAGCATATATTTAAACTATATAAGGGAAAAAAAATTAAACTTAGTCATTATTTTCAAGTATGAAGCAAATATCATTCTATCCTAGCTACTATACAGAAATGCATTTAAACAACAGATATGAACATCTAATTCTAATTTTATTTATTTTTAAATACATTGAAATATTTTAGTAGAAAATATATGTTACTGAATATTCCATATTTATTACACTCCAGAAAACCAATATGAATAAACAGCATTTACATAGACAATGAGGAAATTTAAAAGCAAAAGAAACCAAACTAATATCACTATCAAATAATAATCACACTTTACATTTCTAAACATAAAAATGTTATCTAGAATTGAAGAGTTAGGTGGAAATGCTACAAAACCATAACTTTACAAGGAAACTGAAAATTTTTTTCTTGCAGAAATGAAAAATCTTATAAGAATTGAAATTACATGCATTTTATTAAATATTAAGTGGGTGAAGAATTAAGCCAATTCATTAAAGTGAAAACAATACAAATGAAGTTGCGCTATTAGCCCTTTGGATATGTAACCTAATAATATTTGTCATGAATATTTTCAGGAATTCAATGTCAAATATCACACTGTGTTTTCAATATTTCTACACTCAAAGTACAATATGCAACTGTATAAACTTCAGTTACCTAATGATCAACGGTTATATAAGGGTTGCCCAAATGTAAAGTGGACACGTTCGATAACGTCAGAATGAATGCATCGATAGCAGTGCCACTGCACAAGTATATAAAGTGCGGTATGATGTATGCATCTCAGATGGAGTTTAACCATGAAACCTGTTTGTAGGAGATTAAATTGTGCAAAAGAAAAGTCATGCTATCCATGGATGCGTTCAGATCAGAACAACGCGCAGTAGTACATTTTCTGGTTGCAGAAGGTGAGCGTAATGCGGACATCTATCGAAAAATGGTGGCAATGTATGGCGACCACTGTTTAGGTCGTACAGCTGTAAACAAATGGTGTAAAAGTTTCCGTGAAGGGTGGCTAACGACATTTTATCTGCCGAGACCGGGCCAAGCAAACAAAGTGATCACCAATGATTCCATTGCCTCCATTAACGAAATGATCCAAGATAATCGAAGGATTACAACCCGTGAAATCAGTCACGAACTCAACCTGAGTAAAGGAACGGTTAACACCATTATCTACAAACATCTGCCATACAGAAAAGTGTGTGCGGCATGGGTACCAAAACACCTGACCCTTGATCATCAGAAACGAAGAATGGGCTTCTGTCTCCAGCACTTGATCTGTTATGAGGAGAATCCCGCATTTCTGGATCGTATCGTTGCGGGCGACGAGACCTGGTGGCACCATTACACCCGAATCCAAGAAAATGAGTATGCAATGGAAACACAGCTCATCTCCTCCACCACGGAAATCGAAAGCAACAATAACTGCACAGAAAGTGATGCTTTCCTTTTCTTCGATTGTCTTGGACGAGATTTAATTGAGTTTCTGCCCCAAGGGAGCACTATCAATTCCGCACAATATTGCAGTACTCTGACGAAACTGCGATAAGCAATAAAAAACAAATGGCCGGGCCTTCTCACACAAGGAGTGATCCTTCTGCATAACAATGCCCACCTACACGTCTCCCAGAAAACTCAGACGACCTTAAACAATTCTGTTGGGAGGTTTTGGAGCACCTCCCGTACAGTCCGGACATGTCACCCTGTGACTTTCACATCTTTGCACCACTTAAGAGAGTCTTACAGGGAAAAGGTTACCATTCGGACGATGGAGTGAAGGAAGCCATGCAGGACTTCCTCAGGAATTCACCCCAATCTTTCTACAGCAAAGGCATCGAGCTGCTGCTACAAAATTGGAACCTGTGTTTCAACGACCATGGCGATTTGTTTTGATTTACAATAAAGGTATTATTTTTCTTCAACTTGTCCACTTTTCATTTGGGCAACCCTTATATAAGACAATAAAATTCATATGTTTATTTTCATTGTTCATATGTTTTTAAAATTTTTTCATATGTTTATTAGACTGATTTTAATATAATAAAACTTCATAAAAGTATTAATTTGGTATTTTTAGCAAAGCAAGCCAAAAAGGCATCAAAAATCCAAAATTTTGAAATTAAATATCTTTGTTAGTTTTTCTCATACAGGAATCAAACACTTTGTTTCCTTTTTTATAATGGATATAAAATTTTTCTGAGTATATCTATAGAGACCAAAGGACCATATAAAAAGTAAAATCTTGCAATTTTTACAAAATGAGAACTATAGTACACATAGTATATTTTAAAAGTAAACACAAAAATTTATTTTAATAGACACTATAGCTCTTCTTCAGAAGCAATATTAGTTTTGAAGAATGGATTTTATGTTTGAAAGATGGGTATTCATTTTTTTTTTTTTAATTCTTGAAAATTTTAACATCAACAAAACTTATAAGATATTTCTCCCACTTTCCTAGCGTGCCTTCATGATGTAGCGGCTATGCACGATGGGCTGGTATTCCAGAGGTCCGTGTTTCGATTCCCGGCGAAGGCAATTGCTAATTTTTTATCTCTCCAGCTTTTCCAAAAATCTTAATCTCTACAGTGGCGCCCGAACTAAAAGGGTGTTGGATGAGGATTCTCCACACCCAGGATTTGGGGATTGTGTCCTCTAAAAGCCCGTCACCCTTTAAAAGGGGAGTATATAAGGTATTTCTCCCGCCTTCCTAGTGTAGTGATTCTGCACACTGAGCCGGTATTCCAGAGGTCCGTGGTTCGATTCCCGGCGAAGGCGTTTACTCATTTTTCATTTCTCCAGCTTTTCCAAAAATCTTAATGCCTCTACAACTTATAATATGACATGGTTTATATTATGTAAAGCAAAAAAAGGGGAGAGTTGGAAGAGAGCTACTACAGAAACTTTCTTCATCTTTGGAAGCATAATTGTACTACCAAATAAATTAAAATTTATACAAACATTCTAACAAAATAATGCAAGCTAGTTATGAAATGAAATCATGAAATTTAAAAAAAATATCAAACCTGATGCCGTGGATATTTCTAATAGCAAAAGCTATTTCTCTTCGCAATTCCTTTTCATCAAATTCCATCTAAATGAATTTAAAGAAAAATAATATTAAACACATTAAGAAACAACAGATATATTAAAAACGGTATTACCTTACATGTAACATAAGCATGATTATACCTTTACAATTTCAAAAGGAAATCTTTCATGAAATAATCTGTTTATTCTTGCACCACCAGAAAGTTCACTTGTGTTAATAGATGCAGATCCTGAGCCTTCAATATTACGCTCAAAATCTGTCTGAAGTTGTTGAATCATCCTACGGAAAGGAGTTTGTAAGTAATTAATCATAAAATATATTAGAAAAATCCTTATTTTTAAATTGTTAATGAAGAAAAAGATACAATAATTTAATGCACACATTTTTCATAGTTTAGCATCCATGTGACCAAAAAACTTTAATTAAAAAAAAAAAAAAAAAGAAAAGAAAAGATTAAATGCATGATAAAAGCACTGGCAAAATCATTAAGTACATACACTTATGAACTTCTTTTAATATCTTTGCTGTCTGCATGAAAATACTTTTTAATTCATACCAAGATTTTCAGAATACAAATTAAAGTATAGAAAACACACACGAAAAGCTGCAGAATAAAATAAAGGTATTTTTGCATTAAAGCCATGCCACTTAAACTTTTTTTTTTTTTTTTTTGGCAATTTTCCTTAAATCAGGTAGCGCAAATTAGATTTGGCATATTTCCTGGTAATATATCTTTATAATAAACTTCACGCAACAATGTTTCTAATCTAACCAGAGCCTTGCCCCCCTCCACCCTTTCTTCCTTTTTTTTTTTTTTTTAAGCAGTTGCTTTACTGATTTTGGATTTTCCAAAATGAAAAAACAGCAGTCATGGACCATTAATGAAAAAAATTAAGGACCTATGAGCAAATGGGAACTGAAAAAATTCAATTAACAATATTATCCATGCCTGAATTTCACTTTTAATACCACCCTAAAAATAAAATAGATTCCTAAGTAGTATGCATAATTACTAAACATGAATTAACATAATTATTGATAAGTTTGAGAATAAAATAATTTATTCTCAAACTTATCAAATGCAATTTATCAAGTAGCATTAAATATTTTACATTTATAATATTTGGACATATTTGAAAGAAGATAAGTGACATTTACGTGTTACTAACAGTCAGCTTTAAGGTTTTTTTTTTTTTTTTTTTTTTTTTTTTTTTTTATGTATCATTTTGTCACATACTTGGTCAATCTAGAGGTTTAGTAAATAGCAGGTAGATTTTATGTCAAAGCGCATAGGTTAAAATGAGAAGTAAGATCATAATCAGCATAATTCATAACGAAAGACTGAATCTTGTCACTGCTGCTGCTTGTCCAGAGAGAGACCTGCTGATTAGAACAAAACTGAAAGGCCTGATGTAGACACGATTGGCAAGTGTTGAAAGTCAGGCTATGTGTGATGCAGTTAGTGTTGTAGCTTCGTGTAGAGTTCCAGGTGTTGTAACCCAGTTAACGTACTTTAAGGTTCCAATAAGCCATTAAAGCACCAGAGGTGATAAGTTGTTTTGCATTATTTTAAGTCTCACTAATGCAAAAAATAAGATTTAATTGAATTTTTACATTTTTGTGTTTTATCTTGTGACCACAGTGAGTATTAATGAAAGGTAATAACTTGCTTTAATACGTAGAGATAATTTTTAAGGGTAAGCAGTTAGTTATAAATAATTAAATTGAATAGTTAGATAACCTTAGTCATTATGGATCCCTAAGCATTAAATGGCAACTATTAAATTTTATTTTTTTAACAATATTTGTTAAAAAAGCCCTATTAAAATCCAAAATCTAATAAAATTTCACAGTTTAAAATACATGTAATTTATGACATTGACCCTTAAACGATATTAGGATAATTACACATTAAAAGCTACAAAACATTTATGTTTTGTAACTTTGCCAACAACCACTCAACAAAATATTTATCTATCATTTTAATTTGAAGCCTTCCCAAACATTTTGGCTTGTTTATATCAATTTCCTTCTCTTTAAGCATCTTTTCTAAGAATTAGAGATTTGTCTAAAGATGCAAACCAATGATCTTGCTAGTTTCTGCGTGCTTTATTTCCTAACTTGTCAATCACTCCACAATGTACCTATGACAGTTTACTTGATCTGGTAAAAGTTAAATAGTCTGAAACCTCCTGACAGACATGAAACAAATTATCGTTATGGCTGAAAGTAACTACAATATAAGACAAAGGTTTAAATAAGCCTCTTATTTAAAAAGAACTTCGAACAAAAAGGCATGTTCTGATGCTAACAAAATCAATTGCAGCTAACGGTGATGTAATTAAACAAGAACAGTCAAATTCAAACTAAAAATGCAGACTAGTGGTCATAGATTATACAATTTAATTCAAACTTAATCTGGCTCAGTAACTCTATCATACGAGGAAATAGAAATGGGAAATTATAGTAAAGGCTAAAATCATAAAAAATTGGGTAATTTACATAATAACTGCACATATCTTTGAAGAATAATTTTCTTTAGGTATATTCCTCCAAAATGCTAATTCACACTCAAAATGGCAGTCATAAAAACAGAAATTTCAGATGATTAAAATTAAGGACCTTCTGCTGATTTTGACCAAAATTAAGGAAATTAAGAACCAAAAATTGATTCCAAAAATTATAAGGACTTATAAGGACTGTACGAACCCTGGAAAACTGTATTCAAATGATTATCTCATGAAATTAGTATATTGCTTGAAGCAAAGTCTATGACCCCTTTTCTTTAAGAAGAATAATTATGCTTTTTTACTATTGATGTTTTAAAAACCAAAAACAGATAAAGCAGTTTATCAATTTTTAAATTAATTAATTCATTCATTGATTCAATATTTTTGTTACTGTTTTATAGGGCAAAATAGGACAACTCAAGAAAATAAAAACCCAAAAAAGAAGAAGTGAACTTGTAGATTTAATAAAGATTGGCTGACACAAAGTGAATTTAAAACATGGTTATGAACTGTTAGAAAATCAGAAAAAAAAAATGGCTAGATATTCTGTTTGCAATATGAATATAAAGTAGAAAGGTGTAAAAGCTGTCAAATCTTGAATGAAAGTAAATTCTCATAAACAATGACTATCTTCATTTGTTCCTAACTCCAATCTGAAAAGTTCAAAATTTGATGATCAGATAATAGCAGCAGAATTCACAGAAGTTTATCATGGTATAAAGTCACACCACAGTTATTTTTCAAAAGAATATGGAAGTAAAGTTATGAAGTCAATATTTCCTGACTTGATGATTTGTAAAAATAAAAGACTTCGGTGTACAAAAACTTAATCTATTGTGCAAAATATAGCTCCCTATGCTCTTGAATTATTTACATCTGCTGCAAAGCATTTACCATTTAATGTTGCCACATATGCTTCTAATAAAGGCAGTAGAAAATTATTTCCAATTGTTATTTGTTATTTTAATGTGATTAATGAGGAACAATCTATTCCACATATTTAACAGATTTTAAACTAATATGGAATGAAGTTTCTGACTAGATTTTTTATGCTATAAAATCAACAATTAAAAATATCACCTTAACTAGAGAAGAAATGCACTGGTAAATTTTGGATATAAATCTTCGGATTTCACAAAAGGCTAATAACTGTCATACTCTCCCTAATACTGCTAAATTTACATTAAAAACACTGATATATGATGTGAAATGTTTAGTAACAAATGTCTAACAGAATTTTCATTGAGCATCTGCAACATCAATGAAGTAAAAAAACTGTTTTGATTTCCTAGATCAGTCATGTTATAAAATATTCATTTCCTGTTTAAGAAACTCAAAAATTTCAAAGTGAGCAGTGGCAACACTGTAGGAAATCGAAATCGAGTCAATGGCTAGGCGGCAATTAGTAGCCAACCGCTACTTTAACCGTCTCTGTTGGTAAATTGCCCTAAGGCGTTGGTACTTAAGTTTTTAATTAAGGCGATTTACGCCGCGCCAACTAGGCGAACAACACTGTATGGGGGAGGGAGGCCTTTTATCTTTAAAAAAAAAAAAAAAAATTATCTTCAGCACCCAAGACTGTGTATCGGAAATTCTAAAGATATGGTCTTTTAAATATTTTGTGATATTGCTGTTTAATTGAAATTTATGATTTAAGTGTGAAGAACATGATATTTAATAAATAAAGGCAACACACAAGACGTTAAAAAAAAGCCCCTTTGGGCGTAATATAAAATCGGAAAGCTTTCAGATTTAAAAAAAGTTTTTAAGCTCGATTAATTTATATTTTTTATTTTTTTTCCCCCAATAAAAAAATAGTAAACTGTGTAATAGAGCTATGCTCTTGTAAACTTCACCAAACTGTGTAATAGAGCAAGTAAGGCTCTGCTAATACAAAATATCTTTTTCTTTATACCTGGGGAAAAAACATGTTGTGAAGAAAATAAGGTACTTCTATATTAATGCAAACACCTAAATGATTCTTTACAGACAAAAGCATAAAAGTTACTAGTTGGTTGCAAGTTGACAATTTGTGCAAAAGATTCCCGAACTGCTGATATTTATTGTAAGCTAGCAAACATTATTAATATAACACAATTTAATATCAAATTTTAATTATTAAATAAGATACAGCTAAGTTTTCAACAGTTTATATATTTTAACATCTAGCACATCATCATTGTGATTAGAACATTTTTGTACAAGATATAAAACATTATCAATGAATTTTATTTCTAGTCATTTAATAGACATCTTTATCAGAATTTATTATCTATGCCTCATATCAAAAGTTATCAGTTTTACTAATTAACAGCAAATATGACTGACTTATTTACATCTGAATACCTGTGCACATTTCAAGTATTAACAAATTCAAAGTTACAAGAATTTTGGTCCTTTGCAACATAGTTTGCTTAAAATGAAAAGTACATGACTGCAAGAAATTACGAACCTTATTTGATTGTATGCAAAAGAAACTGGATAAACTTACAAAAGTTTTACATTTTGAACTTAATGTTACCAAATAAAACAAATATATATTACCCTTTCAAGATGATTTCCAAACATACAAATTACAGTCTCAGAAATTAGCAAAGAATAGGAAATTAAAAAGAGCTAAGTTGTTAAAGAGGAAGAAAAAGAAAAAAAGGGGGGATTATATGATACAAATAAATGCATCTTGTTATTACAACTAGCCTTTATGCTAATCATGTGTTGCAGATGTGATAATCTGTAACACGCAATCATATCATTTTTAAACTTAAGTTCTGTATAAAGCCTAAGCACATTTTGGTGTACAGCAAATCAACTATTTACTATTAAGATGATAATCACCTAAAAGCTGCAAGTGATACATTTCATAAAATATCTGGTTGTAATGAAAGTTTTCTGCTAAAAGACGTTCTTAATAAAGTTAGGAAAAAACGTGAAAGCAGTACCTTTAGTGCGGGTAGTAAAAACCACCCAAATCTATGATTTTCTGCCAATCTTTTGGTAGTTTTTCAGTCTTCAGCCTAGAAACTTGGTAGCAGAAAGTCCAAAAACAGATCAATCTCATTTCGGATGTCCTGTCCAGAATGGAAGCTAGCAGCAGCAAGATGTAACTGCAGGTGTAAAAAAAAGGTAGATGTCTGAGTGAGGGATGTCAGGGCTATATGGTGTGGCAAAAGATCCCATTCGAGAGCGTACAGAGTCCAGCCAGTGAATGCAGAACACATGTGGTCTTTCATTATCTTGATAGAACATTATCTTTTTGTTCCAGAACTCAGTTCGGCATTTTTCATTGATCGCAATGTCAACACAGAGTAGCATCTCGCTACACATCTTACTGTTGAGGGCTTTACCTTTTTCTAGATACTCTTTGTGGATAAAATCTGTTAAATCTGGATAAATTCTAGATACTCTTTGTGAATCTGCCGACGGGCTCACAGGGTGAAGACCAACCCCTTTTTCAGCCTCTGTTGTCGAAATAAATCCACTTTTCATCACAAGTGATGATATGGTCTAAAATTTTGTCCTTGCATTGATACGTGAGCAGATTAGTGAGGCCTGAACATGTCTGTACATATCTGCTTGAGTCAGCTTAAGCAGCAAACAGCGACTGAGCTTGTATATCAAGTTTATGAGATGTATAGCGTGACTAATGGACATACTAATTATACTAATGACTAATGCACTACTAACGTCTAACCCCGTGTTTCCCACCGTGGGGCCCACACCCGACAAGGGGGCAATGTGACTGTTAAGGGGGGCAATTCGAAAATGCACTCACCCAGAGTTTAAGGGAACAAAGGACGTTCTAAATATGTTTCATGAAGTCAAAATTTTTCGAAATTTCATTTTTAATTCCCCAAAATAAAGAAAAATGTAAGCGTTTAAAATAAGCACTGCAATTGTAAGCACCGCAATTTAAAAAGTTTTTATATTGCGGTGTATTTTAAATATTTATAAAGAATTCTTTCTGTAAATATGGACATTTAAATGTTTTTAAAGGCATTTAAATAACTGACACATTATGCTTTCCAGATGTTTCTCGCACATTTCAACCAATGAATTTATTTTATTTTTTACTGTAGGAATGGCAACCAATATATTATTCTTTCCTTCAATGGCAACAGCAGCTGCTTTCATCTTTGTTTATATTGATCTTATATTTCTTTCTTTCAGCCCTTAATGAAATGAGGGGTGCAAGAAAGAAAAAAAAACGTTTGTCCTTATTCGGAGACATATTTAAAATTTGGTTTCATACCCGGTCAACTTTTGTCTTTTATGCCAATAATGCCTGACCAATGAATTAATGAAACTAGGACGTCTTGAGGCACATTTGAAGGCGAAACATAATGCTGATATTAATTCAGATTTGAATTATTTTCACACTTTAATGAAAATTTTTGAAAAAAGAGTAATATTAAAGTCTTTATTTACTGCTCATAATGCAACTGTTAATCGTGCTCTTGAGGCTATCAAATTTCACTACTCATCGCTTAGTATGGGAAAAGCCGTACTATAGGGGAGAATTGAATCAAACCATCAATATCAGCATTTAACCTGTTCCAGAAAAAGATGACAAAGATGTTAAAGCTATGCCACTAAATAACAATACTGTTTGCAGAAGAAAGATTAAATGAGGATATTGAAATACAACTTGTTAAAAAGCTGAAAATAAGAAAATTTTTGGTGCAAATGGATGAACCAACTTTGAGAGACAGTGAGGCCGTACTTGTAACTTATGTAAGATATATTCATAAAGGTGATTTTGCTGAAGAAATGTTCTTCTGTAAATCATTAGAAAGCACCACTACCTCCAAAGATATTTATAGTAAGCTAAAAAATTACTTAGATATAAAAAATATAATCTTGTACTGCAGATGGTGCTCCTAATATGATGGTTGAAAAATAAAATAAAGCATAGAATAAGAAAAGGGGTTGCTTAAAATTGATAAAAGATGAGAATTCTGAAATGCTTCTTGTGCATTGTGTTATTCATAGAGAAAACCTGCTAGCTAAAAACAATTCCCCTGTTCTAAATGAAGTACTAAATTCAGTTATAAAGTGTACTGTTATAAAGTGTATAAGTAAAGTTATAATAGTGCTATTAAAACTAGGGCCAAATGTGAACGCCTTTTAAATTTATTTTATGAAGAACAAAATGAAGACTCTATGAGACTTGTACTTCACACTGAAGTAAGAAGGCTGTCGAAAGGGAACTACTTGGAAAGATTTATGGAACTATTTGATACTCTTAGTTATTTTATAAACGACAAACCTGAAATGGTATTGGTGTATTTAATTATGGCAATGCATACTAGGGCTATCTGCCTAAGGGAAACTGGCTCATATACACGTTACACATGGGGAAAACCATGAAAACACCCATGCAGACAGCCCGTTCGCGGGATTCGAACCTCGGACCGAAACAAACCTGAAATGAAAAGTCCATTAACGGATAATGTGGGTTATTTAGCCAATATCTTTGAAAATTTAAATATATTAAATAAACAACTTCAAGGAGTAAATAAAAACTTATGTCGATGCAAAAGGAACATATTTGGTTTCATTATCTTTGTTGAATTATGTCAGGCATATACTATTTACCACAAAAATTTTGAAAAGTCTCATTGGCTCCAAAAATGTGACGTGACTATTGCTATACTTGTTATTGATACCACTATACTTGTTATTGTCGATCATCTGAAAATTTTATCAGCTGATTTAAAAGATTTTGTAACTTAAAACAAATTGATTTCCCAACTTGGATGAAGCAGCCAATGCTAGTGGATTTGGCTGATATTTCAAATATGGAGTAAAAAGAACTCGCAGAAATGCAAAATAATAAGTTAATTAAAACTTTATTTAATATAAATGGAGCGATGACATAGCTTTGTGAGGAAACCAGAATCAGATATCCAAATGCAACAAAATTTGCAAGAGAACTATTGTTACCATTTCCATCTTCATATTTTGCTGAATGTGGATTTAGTGCCATAAATGATTTGCTGCTAGGAAAAAAAAAAAAAAAAAAAAAAAAAAATTGATTGGATATAATGAAACCAGGAGACTTGAGACTCAAGTTATCTAAATTGGAACCTGACATAAAATTTCTTTGCAGCAAGTATCAAGTGCAAGGAACTCGCTAAATTTAAATAATAAAAATTACTAATACTTAAAATGAAAAACTTTCACTAAAATGAGTTTTTTCTTGAATCTCAGTTCTCCGTGTTTTTAAAGTTCACTTACTGTGTTTGCTCACAAAATGCCTTAGTCATTTCTTCCTAAAAGCTTTCATTCAAGTTTCTTTCGAGAACATTTCAATTTTTAAATATTAAAAATTATGTATATGCTGGGGGGGAGCTTAAAACTTTTAGAGAGGATTATGAGGGCATAGAACAAAAAAGGTTAGAAACACTGGTCTAACCCCTTAGCAAGCTCTCAAGTGTTTATATACTGATCTTCTTCTATAAGTTCTTGCAAGGGTGGGGGCTCATGAATGCCATAGTCCTTGTTTTTGAACTTTCGGTACCAAACATTCACAGTATCATGTGATATAACATTAGTCCTAAAGCTGTATACATGATTTGGTGACATTCTGTAACTGACTTTTTGCAACAGAACTGGAAGTAAATGATGGTTCTAATCTGGTAATGTGATAGTTCCATTTCAGACACCTTGTACTCAAATGCAAATATTGTTGAGAAAATATGATAAAACACGCCAACACAAACTTTTTGCACAAACAATATTTGCAGTGGCGGAAAACTTTTGTTAACCCCAAAATGTAAAAAATGGAAATATTTTACAGGCTCATATTTAGAAAACACAGTAATGTATGTTTGTAAACTTATACAATTTTAAATCTCAGATTAAAATTTGTTCCACTATATTTCGATAAAACAATAAATTTCTGAAAAAACGACTGTCAAAGATTACATACTGTAACATGGCTTTTGTTTTACGTGACGGATCATCAGGGTGAAAATGTTTGAATTCTTCAACTTCCTTTTCCATAGAAAGCATCTGCCGCTGTAATTTATCTCTAAGTGCAGGCAATGTGTCCCTAATGTGGTTAGTCAACTGCTGGTTCAGCACCTGTTGTAAATATGGTGTTCCCATACGATCTGCCATGTGCCTATAATACAAAAGAAAATAATCAACAATAGAAACAATTGAAAAATAGTTCAGAACAATTCTGCTTAACATAATTATTTATTATATAATAAGATGTGTTACATAAAGTATTTCAGCAAGATATTTTAATCTTTCATAATGATACTTTAATTGCAATACATAACAATAGACTTCACTAGAATAGTGTGGGAAATGTACGAGTTTTTAGCAAATGGCATCATTATGACCTCAAATGGCCATTTTAATAACTTGTAGCACATGATGGAACTTACTGACAGAACAGTCTATCACAAAGTTAAATTACCTATTTTATTATTATAATAAAAAAGACTTAACAATGTGAGAGTGTTGTTTACAATGGTTCTAACCAGAAAACAATTCTAATGTTAAAGAATAACCTCAAAGACGCTTGTCACTTATGAGTGGCAAAAAAAATGCACAACCTGCCACTAAGAATATCACAGCTTGCAAGCAATCACCTCATCCCTGAAATTATAATGCCAGTTGATACAGAAAACCAGTTTCTCTTTGATGGTGTGCTAAAAGAATAGCTAAACATGTAAAAATCATTCCATATGTATTTATTTTAAATGTAATCTGAATTTATTCTTACAGTGATCCCTAAGAAATTTCCACAACAAATGAAATAAAAACTTGCTTGTCAAATAAGATTATTGACTGATTTTTAGAATGAATGCATTATTAAAGCATAAAATGTGTATATAAATAATATTTTTTTGTAATTAATAAATCATCATTCCTTCCTCCCCTCCTCTATAAAAAATCATCAAAGTGCACTAAAGTGGTTTTGCAAAAATATATAGGGGAGGAAGTAATGATAATTGCAAAAAAAATATTATTTACATATGCATTTTATGTTTTAAAAAAATTATAGCGGAGGAAGGAATGATAATAGCAAAAAAATTATTATTTACATACGCATTTTAAACCTGCCTCCGGATTTAACGTACCTAAAAATTGTTTAATGATACTTTTGTGCAGTAATGGGTGTGACAAAACCCTTGTTAGTTTATAGATCTTAAAATCCTCGTGAACTTAAAGGCATAAATAAAAACACCTTACTGATATATTGGAAAGCAAATCCAAGAGTTTGGGTAACTGGAAATATATTTAAAGATTAGTTTTAAAATTGTTTTGTGCCAGACGCTGAACATTATTTAAGGCAGAAAAATTTGAACTTCACGCTGCTATTACTAGTTGAAAATGCTCTATGTCACCCACAAGATTTGAATCATCCCAATGTCAAAATACTGTTCCTACACCTAACACTACTTAGTTGCATTAATTTTCTATGCTTACGTTTCCTTCTTACTTTTTCAACAAAAATTTATTAGTTAAAAAAATGTGAAAGTAAAAATTATCCTTCTTTACATCTTGTGCTTACAAATTATTATGGGAATATCTATTTACAGTTATTAAACCCTGAAAAAAGCATGTCTGCGATGTTATCGTCATGTGATGATTTGTAGATACTTTATTTTTTACCACAATATTTTCGACGACGATGTTTTTAAATTGCGAAGTTTTTTAACCGCTTTATTTTCGACGACAATGTTTTGTCCCACGATGTTTTAGAACTGTGATGTTTTCTCTTTGCGATGTTTTTTCCTACGATGTTTTGTAGCACGACGTTTTCGCCTTGCGTTGTTTTCTCTGCGATGTTATCGGCAGACACCATTTATGGATATGGCTATTGAAGACGTTATAATAAGATTTATTAGTGGAAGAAGAAATTGCCGAAGCAGATTTGATGGAAATGGCATCCGAACATGTAAATCAAATCTATTCTGAGGACACTAGCTTTGATGAAGATGGTGCAGCTAAAAATTTAGCATTAAAAAAATTAAAAGAAGGCCTTAGCAGAAAATCTCGACTCATTTTTCTTGAATGCAGACCCTTCCGCTAAAATAACCAAAAATTCAAAAGGGAGCTGTAAAACTGTCTAGCTCTATATAGAGAAATTTACAGTGACCCGGTAAGAACTAGTAAGTAAAGTAAAATTACAGATTTTTAAAAGAGGGAAGGAAAATGCCAGAACTTTAAATGAAGAAAGAAATTCTGAAAGTGAAAGCGATCTCATTCCACCGAAAAAATGTCAGTATAATCACCCGATCTCGGTTGATTATACTGAGCAATGACAAAGAAGAAATTTATTAAACTTAAATTTGCATTAAATTAAAATATGTAATATTTTTTGTTGTACTTATATATATTTTTAATAAAAATTAAATTGTTTACATAGAATTAAAAAATATTTCTTTTTATAAAAGTTTACGGAACATAACCCCTCCTTTTTGTACTGGCTCTGGGTCTCGTACAACATGGTTTCACACAATATGCTATTTTTTAGGGATCTATCTACTGTGCTGTACGAGGGTTACTTGTATTTTGAAAATTTTGTGACTACTGTTAACGTGGTTGCACTCATATAAGCACCACAAGTATATCTAGACTCTATAATAATGCTTGATTGTGCTGTAGATCTACACATTTAAATCTTTAATACACAAAAAATCTACAGTAAATTACAATTACCTATAACTTGGATGACTGAGGAAAAATTTTCTTTCTGCTTCCATTGCAGCCTTAATATCCTTTTTACCTTCTATATCTCTCTGGCTTCGATTGACAACTCCAATATAGCCTAGTTATTAGATATCAAGAATAAAAATTAACTTTTATAAAGTAATACATAAATATCTTTATATTTTGCATAATTCATTAACAATTATGTGAATTTTACCTGAAGCTTACAATACCTGAAGCATACCCTTACCTTACTTTACCTGAAGCACTTTACTTATGATTTGATGTAAAAAAAATTAAATTTGATTTAAAAAAAAAAAAAAAAAAAAAAAAAAAAAAAAAAAAAAAAGCTATTCCCATTTAGTATTTGGATATTTTAGCCTTTACCTTGCACTTTGAATCTGATCGTAAAAAGGCGAGTTCTCACAAAATTTATTAGATTTTTAACATTAATTATTTTGTTCCTATGGTGATGTTATATCAGCATTAGACTCCATCCGAAGGTCATCAGAAGGCCTAAAAATCACAAAACTCCAGCTACCATTTAAAAGCAACTTTATTTAGCATTTACAAAAGGAAAGCACATCTTGCAAGAGGCTAAATATTTAAACATTAACACACACAAGCCGATATCAGACATCAGCCATGAACAGGCAAAAAAAAAAAAAAAAAAAAGATGGGAAGTAAGTAGTCAATCTTGGCGAAGAAATTCAAGTTTTATGAATGCTGCCACTCGCTGCAAGCAGGATTTTACCCTCCATGTGCCAAAGACACAAAGGGTCAGAGCTATATTGCATTAAACTTGACTCTTCAGCCACACCCAGTAGTATACACAAGTGGTATTTGGTTAGTAAGCATAGGTATTTCAACATCAGTACCTGATGGATTAATTTAAGAGTTCAGGAATGGAAACTGATGCTAGAGTGTCTGGAACAAAAAATGCTGGTTTCAGGCAATCGATGTCAAGCACTGATTTCTTTCCCTTAAAGAAAAACATAAAATTTTTATTAAACCTTTTTTATTACTCTAAATGAACCATTATACAAGCGAGTCAGTGGTGATTTCAGTGCATTATGCCTCAATTATGTGAGCGCATGACTCTAAAGCTGTGTTCACAAAATACATATTGTTATAACATGAGATGATGTGGAGACTGGCAACAAACATCTCTCTCATTGTCTCACGCATAAATAATAAATGATATATATGAAATCAGGTCATCAGAATTATACACCTGGGTGGGTTGCAAAAACTCTGCGGGAAGACGAATAGCAGTTCCATAGACAATCCCAGAGCAGGTTCCACTCAAATCTTTGTACGATGATCGAACACTGAAAAGTACAATTGGAACACTCAATGTCCACTGGACATTATTATGGCAAATCAATGCTTGTTTTAGTGAGTGGTGAAATCTCTCAAGTAATCCATTTGCTGCAGGGTTGTATGAAGTAGTCCGAGTTCTATGAACACTAAGAAGTTTATTAAAAGTAGTGAACATGTGCAACTTAAAAATTCCTGGCCTGATCGGTACTTATGGTGGAGTGGAATTCCAAACCTAGCAATCCAATGGATAAAACATTCAAGGGACAGTTTCTGCCAAATTCTCTTTCACTGGTATTGGTTTCAGCCATTGGGAGAATCAGTCGATGAGGGTTTAAATGTAAGAGTATCCCCTTCCGAGGGTGGCAGGGTACGAATCTTCATCAAAACATTCTTAAGAATCATTCGTACTGATACAACACTGCACAGAAATCACAAATTCCATCCAAGTTGCTAAAAAAACTTTCTTCAGCAGCATGTGAAACTGCAGCATACTTCATTCGGATAAGTTCTGAACCACAAGATTCTATAACTAGAGAGGCATCTTCTGTACAAAATCATGGATTAAATCACAATCAGTTTTCAAGGCAAGTATAGCTGCAGCGTATGGTGCACCAGTACAGTTCTTACTTTAGGTACCCAAACATGGTGATAATGTTTTCACCATTAGACTCCATCAAAAGGTCATCAGAAAGACCTATAAATCCCAGAACTGCAGCTACCAGTTAAAGCCCACTTTATTTGACATTTACAAAAAAAAAAAAAAAAAAAAAAAAAGCACATTTCACAAGAGGCTATATATTTAAACATTAATATACACGAGCCAACATCAGACATCGGCCACAAACAAAAAAAAAAAAAAAAAGTAAGAACTAAATTGTCAGTCTCCAATGAAAAAGTTGTTATCCTTGTGCTATGGCAAGCACATATGCATATCAAGCAGCAAAGATGAATGTTGACACTCACTGCAATGAGAATTTTCCTTATATTTCCATAATATTCTATTTATTAAAAAATATTTCAAACAGGTCCTTATTTTCTTCATTTTTTCCCCCAAATAAATTCAATTTTCTTTTCGTCTTTGTATGCAAGATCAAATTTTCATTTTAGAATGAACAGAAAGAGTAGCTTAAATGAAGTCTGAAATATGTCATAAAGTTGCATTGCAACCAGTAACAAACAACCAATAATAAAAACACCAAATTAGTAAACTTACATAAGTCAGATCATGGTGGTGTGAAATTTTAAAGTATATTTGGCAATGTAATAGTTCTGCCCCTTTTAATGCATATATTTCATTATACTAATTACCTCAGAAAACAGAATTTGAAGAATATACATTTTAAATTTTTAAGAATACTAAAATATAATAAGGTTTAATAGAGTACTTCAGAATTATTTTTCATATACATTTATAAAAGCATCTAAAATATATAATTTTCAATGTTAATATTTTTAGCTTAGTTTGGTATAAATACAGTTTCAAGTAATATATCTAAACTAAAACATATACATTTATAAAAGCATCTAAAATATATAATTTTCAATGTTAATATTTTTAGCTTAGTTTGGTATAAATACAGTTTCAAGTAATATATCTAAACTAAAATGAATTCATCATCTAAATTGTATCTGAATGCCTTCTACTTATTAAAATTGAAATTATTTTTAATTACGGCATGAGAGTACATTAAAGGAAATTCTTGGGTGAACAAATAAGTTTTTAGAGGTTTTTTTTTAACTTTGATGCTTTATTCAGAGAAACTGGAAAAAGTATTTCATTCAAAGTATTGTTCATTGTCAGCTACAACTTTTCAACATCTTTCAGGTAGCACATGGATTCCCCGTTTAAAAAATTCATCTTTTGAGGCGATCCAAGAACCGACCCAATTTTTGGCTTCTTCGTATGAAGAGAAGTGCTGCTTGGCCAAGTCATGAGTCAATTGGAACAAGTGGAAGTCCGAAGGAGTAATGTCTGGTGAATACGGCGGGTAAGACATTCCATTGAAACACCTCTAAAGTTTCCTTGACGACTGTTGCAGCATGTGGCCGAGCATTGTCATGCTGAAAGATCACTTTGTCATGTCTTTTGGTATATTGGAGGGCATTTGAGCTTCAGTGCTCAGCTCAGTTGCAGCATCAACTGTTTTTAATAATGTTCCCCAGTGATGGGCATGAACATTGGTCCAATAACGCCTCCAACTCAGCATCTTCAAACTTTAGTGGCCTTCCTTCATGTTCTTTGTCACTCGAACCAGTACTCACATGTTTTCAGCATGTTCCCCATATGCTTCACACAGCAATCGATGCCCATCAGCTGCAGTTTCTTCAAATTAAAGCAAACAGGAAGCGCTTTTCGCATATTTTGTTTTGTTGGTAGAAATGTTGACATGGGCTGAGCACAAAGAAAGTTTGTTATTTACACTTCAGCAAAATGAAACAGACTGATTTTTAGATGAAAATGCTGACACTTTAAAAAATAGTTACAAGATTATCCAATAGGATTTAATACTAGTAACGCCATCTTATGTAAATCCCTCAAAACTTATTTGTAAACCCAATAAATAGTACTTTCTGAAAGAAACCAAATAACTAAATTGTTCAAAAAAAAAAACTATATATAAAATGTAGCAAAATTTTTCATAATGAATGACCAAATTATTAAGCAAAAAAATCAAATACTGTTCTGGCAAACAGCGAAATGTACAAAAAGAAAATGTATAAATATAATACTTATCAAAACAAAATAATTTTTGTGATGTCTCTTTAAGTTAAAAATAAAATGAACTTACCTCTTCTCAAAGGCAAAAGCTTATTCTCTAATATATCTCTAGCATCAGTTCCTTCATCCATCAAATCAAGTTTTGTTATTACACCAATTGTACGTAAGCCTTTAATAGTGAAAAAAAAAAAAAAAAAATTTAACTAATAATACAATTCACAAAATTTTATAAGAATATTTAAGCAAATGATTTATAGATAAGTACATAAGTGTAAAATTATAAGATAAAAATATTAATTACTTACAATAACAAAAGGTTTAATTTTTTTAGCTTTAAGAAATTAGAGAAAATTACAGTCTGGACTCTCAATCATTGAATAAAAGGAGTGTGTAAATTATTTCCTAAGAATAATTTTGAAAATGGCACAGCAACAATTATTTAGTAGTGATTAGGTTAATTGATTAAAACAAAGTACATTAGGATTATCTCCCTAAGAAAATCGATGCTTTCATGATGGTTTGCAAAGGAAACAGGTTTGTATTTCTATCGCATACAGGAAAAAACATAAAAATGTATATACAGCCAATCTGTTTGCTGGGATTTCAAACCTGTTTGAACTACCAGTATTCAGCAATCTTAATCTGCTTGGCCACTAGTAAGATCTATACTTTAATTTTTCATTAGCATTATCAGTAAAAACAGTTATAATATGAATAACAAGACTAAGACAGAAATTTGACACACAGCAGAGAAGGTTGGATGCTTGTAATCCCCAGAGCTTTCCTGACTGTCTAGACTGAAATTGCCTGAGTAATGGCCAATGCCAATGCAATTAAAATATTTTATAATAAATTCTTGATTTCCAATGGTTACCTAAACAGCATTCAGCTTACTGACTATACAATACATACGGAAATATCTGATAACATGAATATCTTTATCATTCAGCAAAAAATATGGCTCTTACTTTAAATTATTTCTTAGAATCAGTGGAACAGACATGTAGTTCTGGGTATGAGGGATGCGTTTGCGCATTTGGGTTTTATTTTCACGACTTGAAAATCAGTTATAAACATTGCATATGATACAAAACAGAAACTCAATACTCCAGGTTGAACTAATTGCAATACACAGTGATTGATTGACTTAGTATACTTTGAATAGAATTCTGTTCGATTTAACGTTACACATAGATAAATATATATAAGGATGCATTTTCAAAACTGCTAGCAGGCCGCCACCCAGGCAATCAAAATACACCAATGGAAAATGAAATCAATTTTGAAATCAAATTTGTTTCAAAAGCAATATTATTTCATCATCAAATATGAACGTTCCTTTATTGTTCTTTTCACCACAAGGATTCTAATTTTTCATTTGTGAATAATGATGATTATTCAAAGTTACTGATTAATGATTTTTCTACAAAAAAATGTTTCATCTGATATTTTACCGATCCTCATTATGTTTCAGGTTATGCTTCCATGATAGAAATATGGTTGTAAAATCAAATATTTGTCATGACTGGTTGCAAAGTGTTCATTAGAGCAGATGATATTTTTGGTTTTATTACAGCAGTAGAAAGGGGAAAATTAACATTGCCATCAGAAGTTGCTTTATTAACATCTTCAACTATACATTTTTGGTTTAGTGAAATTCTTAACAATATTGAAGATGCATGCCTTATGTCAAGAAGACAAATGGGTATTTTATATAAGCTATTTTGCATACAGCTAGGTCAAATTCGCTTTAATTTAACAGATTCTTCCACATTTGGAATGACTTTACAAACTCGGTTACAAAATATCTGTTGGATAATGTGGAAAATATTATTAAATAACTATACAAAACACAAAAATGACAAAATATAAAATGTTCATATTTTTTTAAATTTACCAACTAATTTTAGTTAACAAAAACTCATAGTTTATTTTGTTTATGCATTCTTGTTTCTGTATATACTGTGTATAAAATGCATCACTTATGTATATGGTACAGCTGCAAGTTTTATGAATCTGTTTTTACACCTGCAATTTTGGGAAACCACTTTAAAAGGTAAAAGTGGTACCACATAAAACTGAGGCTGGCTAAAATAAAAGCCAGTCCTTTTTTAAAATGCAATAGTATTTCATTCTTTTATTTTTGCTTAAAAGATTTATTCATAGCATAATGTGTATGTAAGTTTACCTTTTTACTCAAATTTTATAGCATTTCAGCAATTTTTAAATCATTTCCCTGTTTTGACAAAATTTAGATGTCCAGTTTTTATTAGTGAATGAAGATAGATAAGTATAGATACATGCCTTCTGGAAATTTATGTAGCTAGTGTGATGGTAGAGGCATGGAGTTATACAAAATACTCTGCTCTTAATATTCATTATTAAATATTTATTTTACTACTAAGGAAACCTGAATAAAATTTACATCCATACATCTACTGATTTCCTCCCCCCCCCTTATGTGGATTTTGTATTATTTGGAGAATAAATTTGATTCAGATTACATAGATTCCATTTTCATTAAAACTAAAGAAATAAAGTTTACACTTGGTCATTCTCCATGATATTTTAGTTATATAAACAAATTACAAGTGTTTTAAAAATGATTAAGCAAATACATTTTTATTGCCTGCAAAAATATTTTATTATGAAAAATTTAACGTAAATCATATAACCTTCTCATGTTTATTAATCTTACTGACATTTATTTCAAGAAAAAATTATGATTTTCAGCAAACTTTGCAATTATAGTGAAGAGAAGAAAATCATTTATTTGGATCATAGGACTTTTCAAAACTGATTTCACTTCAATGCCATGAAAAATGCTGAAAATCCTTCTTAAGGACAGAAAAGACATCTGACATTTTACCAATCTGATAAGCTACTTGCTACACATGCATATTTTTTTTTCCTTCACTTAAAGCAAATTATCTGTCACTATAACTTTAGGAATATATCACTTCATTTTCTGACTTATTGAGAGAGAAATCAATATTTGTTCAGTAATCTTCCAATGTAATGAAGTAACATGCTCCATAAAATTTCAAGCAAATTAAATTTGTAACTTGTTTAAATGTATTTTCCTAATAAACTTAAATTTTAATTATGATTATACATATGTAGATATATATTTATATAATCATTTTCAGTATTATTTTACAATGATCCATCATACAGTATTATTAATGTCAATATAAACTATAACAGTATGAAAAATACACAAAAGCATATATGAACTAAATGAAATAACACTTTTCACATTTAAAAAAAAAAAAAAAAAAATCTTGTGACAGTTAATTTGGCTTATTAGTGGAACAGTTGGTGCTGGAAATGGATGATTATGAAGAAGAAAACTGCTGTTAAAGGCTGAGAGCAACTGAGGCAATCCAAGCTTTAATCTTGAATGTCATTATGAATGGCATCTTACAAACATGTGTAGAGTAGATTATGTGGTCACATGCATTTTGTCATCGTAGATGACCTCATAGCTTAAATGTATCAGAATGAATGCACAGTTCCTAAGCTGAACAATTCTCGGCTAGCATTAAGATCAGTTGATTTTAGGTTGACTAACACAAGATTAAGAGCTTCAGCTAGTACATTTATTGGAAATTTCTTTTGCTATTTGAATCCATTTTAGAGGAAAATAAATAATGAATAAACAGCCATTAAAAAAATTGCTTAACTAACTACATGAATATTGTTTGAATGCAAAAAAAAAAAAAAAAAAAAAAAATGGGAAAAGAAGCTTGTTTACAAAAATATCATTTTCAATTAATAATTAGGTTATAGTTTGAATATTATGGCTTTTGCACACTTACATAACTTCACATAAGTCATATATTATGCAAGCTCAGGGATCACTTGAATCACTGTACTTGAAATACACGTCAAACTTATAGCACAGGAAAAATAACACACCTCAAATCTACAGCTGATTTTAAACTTAGATTATTGTTCTATAACAGATAACTAAGAAAACAAGCATACACTTCGAATTTTTGTTTAGCAAAAGTTCATTTGTTTATTAGTCTGGATAATCCACTACAGTGATAAATATGCAGGGGGAAAACGGCATCAATGAAAAAATTTTTAGATTACCTTCCGGATCAACTTCTTTAGCAAGCTTAAGAGCATCTGAAGTTGCTAAATCTTGATTTGCAGCAGTTACTGCAAGTATCAAGCAAGTCTCTCTCTTTATGTATGTAAGAAGCATATCTTTAATTTGTTGTTCAATGTCTGGAGGTTGGTCGCCAACTGGAACTCGAGTCATTCCAGGTAAATCAATAAGGGTCAAATTCAAAACTGAAAGAACATGTTAATTTTATATCAGAATTTTTATTTTAAAACAGTTCAAAAAAATTATGAAAGATAATTACATGCAGTTCAACTAATTTTCCCTAGAAACAAAAATTTATCTATAGTGAACCATATTGACTTATCTATAATCAATAATAAAATTTCCTCCATTAATTTATTCAAGCTATGAAAGCACAAATTGAAATTTCATAAAAAAGTGCTTGTCTAGACCAACGGAAAAAATCTCAACTGTTATAATCATAAAAAATGTTTTTAATATCCTAAAAGTAATTTTCATTTAATAAATAGACTGGAATAGTTACCTATTCTGACCAGCTACATTGCTAAAGAAAAACTATTTAAATTCTGTTAAGATTTACTCTTGCTAGTAATGTCAAAATTTCAACTCCATCTATTCAGTGAACATACATTTGAGTACACAAGCACTTTGATTATTCCTCCTGTACTGAACCAGATTGACATGGGTTGCCACAAATAATTTACCCTTTTAAGTTGTTTAATAGTTACTTTTCACGAGGCTGTTAAAAATGAATTTCGTTACTGACAGGTAAAGAAAATCCTTCTACAGGAACTTTATGAATCAAATAATTTCTCAGTGCTTATAAAATAGGCAGAAGTTTTCTGCTATTTTGCAAAGATCAGAATCTCTTACTTAAGTTTGTGAATTAATTCATAATCTTTTCTCTATTGTTTTACTACTCATGTCACTGTTTTTGTCAGGTAACTGAATTTCCGCTATTTCTGTTACTTTTTGTTTCAATTTTTAATCTCCATTAAAACACTTTTAGTTCCAATATTCTTCATAAATGAAGGTGAAACTCTACTTCTTCCTAATAGTTACACTAAACTGTGATAACTGCTGAGCTTGCTAGATTACTTCCATCAGCTTTATATTACCTGTGAATATTATTTTTTAGTTTTTCACATTCTAAGCATCTAATTCTAGTTTCCGCATTATTAGACGAAATTTCTCATTTCTTCAACTACTTTAATTTTAGTTTTACTTACTTAGGTTCAATTTGCTGTACTTTGTAATACTCACAATTTCTTTTGTTCAATAACCATAAATTAATGTTTTCCTTAGGGATAATTACTATGGTTAAAAAGCCACAGCCTCTTTTGCACCATTTATTTTAAAATCATACTTCTCCAATGTTACATTGTCTTCAACAACTAAAAGTACACAGTACAAAACTCAGTCTTTCGCATTAAATACAGAATATTTTTTCCCTCCTTTCAGTTATAAATAAAGCAGTTAAGCATTTTCATAGTTGTCAAAACTGGCAAACTTAAAATATCAAATTTGTAATATGCAACTTTTAAATATCAATAAAGGCCTTTGTAGTTGTTGACCAAACATTTTTATTTATAAAATATTATCAAAATATATCTGATTTTCTTCAAATTTCCTTCCAAAATATAAATTATTTTAAATACTGATAAATCATATTGACTCAAACCACTAAATCTTTATAAAATGAAAAGATAAAAAAAAATAATCTGTAGAAAAGAAGATATTTTCAGGTATTTCATAATAAAATGTATCAGCAACATATGACAATTTTTTTATCTTCTAGCTTGTAGAGATTTTGATAAGCTATCCCCAGCAGGTATGCAGATACTGGGGTTAAAAGATAACTGGATTCCTTTACGTCATGCTATTTAAAATAACTTTATGGATTTTCTGTTTGATCAGACTGTTCATTACTATATATTTATTTTGATAGTCAGTAGTGAAAAATTTATATCAGTACTAATAGTGATTTGAGATAGATATCAATTTTTGCTCTAATACTAATATTTATTCAAATAGAAGAAAAGATATGTTGTCTTTAAACAGTTCAAAATAAAAACAGTGTAGAAATAAATGCTATATTTTATAAATCTTAGCATTTCACTTATCTAATTAATCAAGTAAAATTTTTTTTTGTTTGTTTGTTTTTGTTTTTTATAAACTAAAACTGAATCCCCTAAACTATCAATACTTTTTATTAAGCATGGCAAACATTTAACTTTTATCAAATCATAAAACTTTTCCAAACATCATAGGGTTCTCTTTCATTTTCACTATTTGAAAACTACCAGAAATTTTATTTATCAACTTTCAGGATACTATTTCAGAATTAGAAAAAAGCTGCCTTGCTTTAAATTGCTATGTAAGCACTTCAGAAAGCATTAAAAGATGCTTCATACTTTTGTTATCCATTTTGCCAAACATCCATTTGCAACATTTTAAATCAACATCCTCAAAAATTATAATATTTTGGCACTTGATATGCTGAAACCATTTTTAGAAAAGTCAGCACTGGGATGTTTAATAATTTTATAGAATGCAAAGCAACTTCAAAGTTATTAAAGGATTTATTTAAAGCTCTGATTTTTATTTAAGGAATGCAAGTAAACACCAATTTCAAAACCAAAAATGCTGCAATCAACATGAGATTGGGGAGGGGCAATAATAAAAAATTTATAAATGCATATTCTGGAATCTGCTCTTAGTATAACTAAATATTTCAGCTCAGTTCCCTCTTCTAATTAAAATCTCTCCACACAACAGAAAATCATTTTGAGGCATATAAAAAACACAATTTGCAATAACATTACAGGTCAACCAGACTCACTAACGAGACTTTTTTCCACTATATCACTAATGAAACTACTCTAAATCTTACAACTAGCTGCATTAACTGTGAGAAACCAGAGACATATTACTAATACTTACAATGAAAAAAATGAACAGATGTCATGGGGAATGTTTTAAGGTGAAAATTCCTAAAATATTATCAAAGGCTTTAGCAGAAGACACACTAATAAAAGAGTCCTTTGAAGAGCTCCCAAATTAGAGACATCTTACCTAACAAGCTTATATCCCTGAAATCAGATACTTTGAGATCTTCAGTACTTTCTTTGTGCTATCAAAGATTGAAATATATCTTCAAAAAGTAGATAATAAACATCTGAAGAGTGTTCTTGGATACGACATGAAAATGTTGACTGTCTGGAATACAATTAGAAGAAATTTTTTTCAACAGTTTGAAAGCCTGATTGAACTAGCAATGAGATTTAATGCTCTTGAATTGCTGAAGAAGAAGAGATTTAATAATTAGGAACAGGGATGGATTAACCAATTTTAGGGGCCTACACATTTTTTCCTGCCGGGCCATTTTAATAACTTTCTAACAAAATAATAAACGATAAGTATATAATAATAATTAACAAAAAATAGTCCGTTTTTCAAAAATCTAATACAGTTTCCATTTTTAGTATAATTATAAACATGCATTTGATTATGTATCAATACAATCAATAGAATTGGAACTTTTTGTTTGTATGTCATAAATTAAGAAAACATAATTTATTCAATTAAATGTCAAAACCATAGTTTTGAAAAAATGATTATGAAATTAATTCAAAACTCCTTTTTTTCTCGCTTTCAATTCTGCAAATTTACCAATCATTTCTTCATGATTACTACTGTCCAACATGTTTTGTTCGATGTATAGTACAGCTGAAAAGTTAATTTTGTTTGACTTAATGAGTTTCGTAAATAGTTTTTTGTGTGTGTTAACACTGAAAACACACCAAATGCATTCAATACAAGCAAATTAAAAAATATACGTAATATGATTTCCATATTTGGAAATGTTGATACAATTTTTGTAGTCTTTAAAAATTAGAGCATGTCAGATGGAAATGTTAAATTTTGGGTTTTACAAAATAATAGAAAGTGTAACAGTTCCTCCTCCAATTATTCACTGCCCCATTTTTTGAGTAATGTGGTATCTTCAGATTCAATTGATACATTGTCATTTGAGTTTGTATGAAATATTTTTAAAATCTCATTACTGTCTTTGAAACTTTTGCTACGTAGTTTCAGTTCAAAAGATATTCTGTCACATATTACGTAAAAGCAATTTCACTTAAAGGCTTCTTAACTCTGATTACATGAACTTTTGTCATTCTCATCATGATGAACTGTTTCAAAAAATTCTTTTATAAATTTCGGAATAAGTTTTTATTTCTGACGTGTTTAATGCCTCTAGGCTCCCAACAGATCTACACTGCAGTTATTTGGGTAAATGATGTCTGGAGGTCATTGTCAAATTGGCTATCTCAAATTTCTTATCTCAGTATCACAGCAAAATTGGCAGGCTTGTTCTGAAACATGCAATTTTATGGTCATTGTAGATGACATATTTCGACTGCGCCACTGATTTGCATACTGGGGATTTACTCAGCAATTTTCAAATTGTATACGGATTAGCTCGTTTTTAAATGAGTTACTTATATTTTTGGAAACCAGTGTAGATCATTATAACTAGTAGCTACTATACTAATTATTCGTGTAATTATTTCTTATGAAAGAAATTATTTTAAAATACATAAGCCCATTTTAAACATTATTTTGGGAGAGAGAAGAGAGAATTTTCTTTTTTTCACTTTGGCTCATTTAAAACTTACGTTGCATATGAAATTTTTCTGTTTTAACATTCCAGATCATAAAGACTCAAACTGATCCATATATCTCATGCTTTTCTGTTCCATACTGACTTCCACTAATTAAAAAATATTACTATGTAGCATTTAGACTGTAAACATTTAAAGATGACCTGCTGTAGATAATATGAAAATAATTTGTTAGCCTCACTTACTTTTCCAAGAGAATGTGGTGTATATTAAAATTAAGCTATACCAATCATAAAGAACATAAAAATAATTAAAAATATGGCTAACATACCATTTGGAGAATATACTCTTAAATTTATAGGCGCATTTGATATGCCCTTGTTAGATCCTGTCATTCTGTCCGTCTCATCTTCAATTTCTTTACGGATGGCATCGAAATCTGTGAATTTTTTGCCTCTTGCATGTAAGAACTCTCCATATTCTGTTATAAAAAAAATTCAGTCTTATGACAGATAAAGATTAAAAGAGATCAAATTCAATTTTATGAAAACTGAAAATAAGAATTGTAAAAAAATTTAATAGCAAGTTTTGGCATTTATAATTCAAAAAGATTAATAATCATTTTATTGTATGTTTCAGAAATTAAGAAATTTGGACAGAGTCAGTGGGAAATAATCCCTATATGAATAAATTATTAATAATACTGAAAAAATCATGACATATGATTAATATTTTAGAGGTTTTCAGATTTTTAACAAGTCTACAAAATTTTTTGAGTTCTGTGATATCCACAGAATTAATAAGATCTATAATAGACTACATGATGACTGACATGATGAAATGACTATGACTACATAATGCTAATAATAAAATTTAAAGGATTTCATATTCAAAGATTAGCATTTACCAACTTTATGTGCATGAAAATTAAATCAGTGCTACTTATCTTTAGATTACAGAATACATAGTAAATGAAAATAATTAGTTCTTTTCCATTATGACTCTTTTAAGTAATTTTTTTTAGTTTAGTCAGTAAAAATCTACATCTGTCCCCCAAAATTTTTTATTTGCATATCATTTTACTACATCTATTCAAAATTTTTGGAGATAAGAACTGTTTATTATCAATGTCAGTTCTTTTCCTATGACATTAGAACACCATATCACCACTTTTGTTTTACTTTTTAATATTATATACATCAAAATCTAAATGCTAATGATTCAGTCCAGCATGACAAATGAAGCAACTTTATCGCACTCTGAATTTCTACAACAGCTTTTTGTGAATTTTAGGGGATTTTTTGCAATTTTATGATGATATGGTTACATGGTTAATATGATAATATGATTCATGATAAATGGGCAATTCATTAAATTGTTCCACAAATATCACATGTATCATTTGAATTTCAAAAAGTTGTTATTTTATTAATTTCTATCTGAAGCATTTCATTTTTCTGCATATTTAAACAACACTAACTTTGCACAGAATTTTTGCAAAAAATATTCTGAAACACATCTGTTTCAAAATATAAATCAGAACTTTGAACATTAAATCATTATCCCTTTAGTTTTTTTTTTTTTTTTTTTTTTTTTTTTTTTTCCCCTTGTAATACTAGAAAAAGTCATTTTCCAAAGTTACACAAAAGTAACCTTCCATTTCCTTTCAAAAGTGATACATATTTCAATGCAAAATTATTTTTTTCTAAATTAAAAAATATACTACAGTACAAAGTCTGTGATCCGGACGTCCAAAGCACCACCAACCATTTTTGTTTTTAGGTTTTTGGGGGAAAGGGGGTATGCTTTATGCATACACGTTTGATCACCCCCATAGTAAAACATGTGGAGAGTCCCGATCTCTTAATCTCACTTCAGCACTAAATAAAATACCTCAATACTGAAGAAATAATCATCTTAGCATAAATTTGTGTGATCAATGATCAGCATATCTGCTTGGCATACAAAACCAACATATTGTACAAAGAAACATTGTTGATATAACTATTAATATTTTATATCCCTGACGCCCACCTGGCAAATTATTATTTATTATATTTTGCTTTCCTCAACGCATGTTTATCAACACATGACAATTTGAGTAATGATTCATACAGCGATATCTAATTTTTTTAATAGTAGTAACGGAATAATAAAGACTACAGAATTAATAAGGTAACTTTTTATGATGACATTACGCTTAGCGATGATAATAGATGTAAGTTAAAAGCACTAAGAAATGTTGACAAGGAAAAAATTTCTTTCAATAAGCTAAAAATATATTTTGTTATTGATACTCATACTCAAAAGATGTTTAATGCTATTTGAATTAAGAATAACTGATTTGTTATTCACATAAACCCAGAACCAGCAACACAGCTTGTACGTCTGCAAAAGGCAGCAGAATTTAGGGAAGACAATTTTTTTGGAATTTAGAGAAGCAACACACAACAAAATTACAGGATGACAAAATTTTTAGAATTTAGGGAAAGCACTGGAACCCAAACTTTAAGGCTAGCAAAGATTCAAAATTCAGGGAGGTGCTTGGTAGAAGAATTTAGGACCTGCAGAGACTGGATCAGGTGGTAAGACATCTAGCACCAGCCTTCAAAAAATCTTAAGTATATGTGGAAATTTATTTATTCAAGACTGAGATAAGTATGTGCAAGAAATACACTTAAGTATAATAAATAATTATCTAACACAAATGAGGCTTAATTATCTCAGTGCACTATAGAAGCAAAACAAAATTTAGTGGAACTTGTCTTTCATCACCAATCTCATGATACATTGCCAATAATGTACAGTGGATGCTATTAAGCTAGTCTAAAATTATACGTTACTGATTCCAAGGAATTTCAGAATACAGCAGATTGTGCTGTTCCTTAATTTTATGATTTGATCCAGCTTATTATTTTTTGCAAGCTGATATTACGTAGCATATTCGGAAACTAAGTACCGTTTCATTCTAGCGCCGTCGCAGCGCTTTGGTAGGCGTCCCGCGCATGCGCACTAGTCTTTCTTGTTCACTGACTTTCAATTGTCGCCATTTTGGTTGCTCTATGTTGTGTTTTTTTTGCTGTGCACATTCAAAATGTTAAGACAATTAGTTTCTCCCTGACTGTGAGATTTGGTGCCGTGATTAATTTTTGAACGCGGAATGTTAAACAGCCCAAATTTATCGTCAAGTGACAAAGTTTACGTGAATACACGATACATGATGGAATGGTGAGAAAGTGGTAAGAATGTTTAATGCAGGTCGAACAAATGTCCACGCCGAGGCTCGGAGTGGTCGGCCTTCTGTTGTCCACGAGATTTGGTAAGGAAAGTTAATGAAGCAATTCATGAGACAGACGCTTCACAATGGCAAATCTTTCAGAGCCATTTCCACAAATTTCACGTACTGTTTTGTTCGAAATTGTGTCTGACCGCTTAAGTTATCGCAAACTGTGTTCCTGATGGGTTCCAAAAATGCTCACTGATGTTCACAAAACAAAGCAACTTGGTAGTGCCCTGACATTTCTCATGCAGTACAGTGATGAGGGAGAAAACTTTTTAAACCAAATTGTGACAGGACAGGTGATGAAACTTGGGTGTGTCATTTCACACCAGAATCGAAACAACAATCGATGGAGTGGAGACACACTCATTCTCCGAAAAAATAAAAGTTCAAAGTGACCATGTCATCACAAAAAATCATGTGCACTGTCTTCTGGGATAATCATGTGCACTGTCTTCTGGGATAGGAAAGGCGTTTTGCTTACTGAATTTCTTCCCAGAGGTGAAACCATTAATGCAGCATGATATTATGAACTAACAAAACTAAGGCGTGTCATTCAAAACAAACGAGAGGGAATGCTCAGTAAAGGAATTGTGTTGCTCCATGACAATGCTTGGCCCCACTGCTGGTGTCACTCAATCGTTAATTCAACAGTTTCTGGGGAGCAGTTCGATCACCCACCTACAGCCCGGACTTGGCGCCGTCCGGCTATCACTTGTTCCGCACATGAAGCGCGAGCTTGGTGGCAAGCACTTTGGATCTGACGATGACAGAAAAATGCTGTGGAGTCGTGGTTATCGAAACTGGCGGGAAGTTCTTTGACGATGGTATACAAAACGGTCACCCGCTATGACAAGTGTTTGATCTGGCGGAAACGATGTTTGAAAAATAGTTTAAGACATGTAGTTTTCATGTAAAAATAACATTGGATTCGAAAAAATTGTTTTACTATTTTTTTTTTTTTTTTTTTTTTTTTCAAAACGGTTCCGAATACGCCTCGTATTACAGCAGTTTTATAAAAATTAAAGTTTGAACTTTTATGCCAAAAAGAGTTCTATTTCTGGAGCTGCAACAGGATCTACAAAGCAAAAGCATATTTCGATGTCCACTAAACAAAAAGTGAAATTCTTGCATAAAATGGATAAAGGTATATCCGTCTCAAAATTATGTAAGCAGTATGGCAACGGAAAGTCAACAGTATATGATATAACAGAAAAAGGAACTTTTTGAATTTTTGGTGGATTCTGACTCCCCACTAGCAATGAAAAACAGAAAAATTATTTGTTATACTAAAAGCGACGCTCATGAGAAAACAATGATTGAATGGGTCACACAGCATCACAGCGAGGGCATGCCATTGACAGGTCCAATGTTAATGGCTTAAGCCAAAATATTGCATGAAGAAATGAACTTAAAAACTGAGTGCATATATTTGACAGATTGGTTAGCCAAATTTAAAAATCACTATGGCATAAGGCAATTAAAAATTTCAGGGGAAAAAGTTTCAGTAGAAACTGAAGATGCTGAACTATTTGCAGATGAACTCGTTAATAGTGAGAAGTTATCTTCAGAAGAAATTTACAACACTGATGAAACTGGTCTTTTCTGGAATATGTACTGCAATATACCTTGGCAACCTCTACAGAAAAGGCTCCAACTGGTGTCAAAGATTTCAAAGCGAGACTGACAATTTTAGCATGTGCAAATGTTGCAGAAATGCACCAGTGCAAACTTTTCATAATTGGAAAAAATACACAACCTCCAGCATTTAAAGGGATAATATTTTCTCCATCATCTATTGAGCAAATAAAAGAGCATGGATGACACAAGCATTAATGAATGACTGGTTTGAAAATGTTTTCATACCCGAGGCTCAGCAACATTTGAATTCAGTTATTTTACCTCATAATACAAAAATTGTCCTGACTGTAGATGACTGTTTGGCTCATACTTCACTTAAAAAATTTTAGTGAAAGATAATGTATCCATATTATTCTTTCTTCCAAACTGAACATTCATTATTCAGCCTATGGATATCGGAATAGTGCATGTGCTGAAATGCAAATATAAAGTAGCATTTTTTAAATTCGTGTTAAATTTCTTGAATAATGGCAAGCCTATTCAAGAGTTTTTGAAATACTTTACCATAAAATCTGCTGTGTGGAGCATTACAAGATCTTGGAAGGATGTGTATGCAGATA